TCAATAATTATAATCACTATTTCATGATATGCGGTATAAAAATTAAAGAGTTTTGTAATTAATTGATGGAGTGTTAATTATAAACCGTTATAATGCACTTACTTGTAGGTGCATTCAAGTGGATGATAATCTAATCGATTGAATTAATAATTCTAAACATGTTTAGTAAATTATTGTAAATTTGTTGACAAATTAATTATTATTTATTATTTAACAAATATGAGTAAATAGATTAACAGAAATGTACAAAACAATCATTTTAAAAATACTATTTTTAACATTACTCGTTTTAATTAATGAAAACCTTATTTTTGGTTAAATTAAATATGATTTCATGCATTTTGAGAAGTTTTTTAATAATAAAATGTATAAATTTTATAAAAATTATAAATTATCTTATTATTAATTTTTATTATGTATTATAAGCAGATTTACTTCGACCTACAGCACAGATTGTAAAATATTGAAATATTTTTTGCTTTGTGCAGAAGACTTTTGAAAGTTAGTTGTGCAGTTTGTTTAAATGCGCATGCAAAATTCGTTTCAATGACTTGAGCGCGCTACGCGCGTGTTCTTCAAATAAACAAAAAACAAAAACACTCGTGCACACGCAATTCAACTTGTTGGTAATCTGTAATGGACACTTTTTAAGACCGCCGCGAATCGACTGGCGCGATTTATCTCCACATTTTTTCCAGATAATATTACGTATCAATCTTACTCGCTAAAGTTTCATAGATAAATTGTTTCATAAGTGGCACTAGCGAGTGAAGTTAGTTATTTCCAAATGTCACAAATTTCATTCACAAAAAGTATTGCATGTGACATCACAGGTGAAAAAATAAATTGATAAAATGACAAAATGACTAAATCGAGACTTAGCAAAAATAATTTCTAGAAGTTTTGTACAAGTGCTTAAATTCTGAACAAGTTGAGACTTATCCATCATCAAACAATAGCTTCTTTTAAGAAATTTAAAATTTTCCATAGATTTCAACAAAGAAATAGTTGTTTTGTAATTGTTTACAGAAATTTTCTGAATCATCAAACTAAAACATTCAGTAAATAAATATTTCGATCAATTCCTTGTATATTACTTAAAATTTCCAGTTACCAAAACAAAATTTCCCCCAAAATCTTCTTGAAAGACTTAAATTTGTGACCATCGGACTGATTTTTGTAATTTTTAGGAAACTTTTACTAATATTCCTCATTTCTATGTTAATATCATGTAATTTCAATGCCTGACGATATTCTCATAATAGTGCTTAGCTGGTGGTTATGTAACGCGAAGAGTTAATCATCCAGTTCTGCGGAGTCGGTCGGCTGGAGGCGCGCGAATCGAAGAAGGAGAACACAAAGCGCACACAAGCTCCTACTTGCCAACTTACCTTGGCACACATACGAGCAGATCCATGCCGCTCGCGTTATATAAGACCCGTATTTTCTATTATTTTCACTTTTCGAAGGAGCGCGAATACACAAATCGCCAACAACAACTTCTTTCACCTATTGAGGTCTCCAGAGTGAAAAACTATTCAGTAAACCATAAAAAAACAGCGCGCCTCCACCACATTTTATTTATTTTAAAAATTAGAATAAATTTATATAAAATACTTTATTTTTATTGTACTGAAGTACTCAGAGTAAAAAATTATTCAGAAAAAAATATTTGCTAATAAAATTACGGGGCGCCTCCACCATAAGCAAATAAAAATGTAAAATTAGAATAAAATTACACAAAATTATAAAAGACAATAAAATAACTACCTGAAGAGTTATTGTTATGTCTTATTCATTATGAATAATGTTTGCAGTTTGCAATGTTTGCTAATAATGTTTGTTTAAAACTGGAGGATGCGGAAACGGCGCGTTTTTATTTTCATAATAGAACACTTACTTTCTCATCAAATTTATTGTTGTGCTACTGTTCTTTTTGGCGTATTTAGACCCGGCGCAAAATCTGCGCAAGAAATTCGAGGCGTTACATGCGCCACACCGCATAACATCCGCGCTACGCACTTGTTTTGGAACACTTTTTGAACACTTTTATTGTTACGCAGCGGCTACCAAACTTGCATAATCAGTTCGCATTTTTTGCACTTAGCAATACAATAAGACATAAATTTATTTATATATTTTTTAATGTTTTCGGACAAAAAATATAAATTTTATCACAATTGTATAAAAATATGATTCAAAAATGGAAATAAGTAATTATGATTAAATTTACCATAAAATTTCCTTAAAATAATTATTTTTCTGTACAAAATTCGATTTTTTCCTCAATATGCGTAAAGATAAATTTATTTGTACTTGCATTAACGAAATGTACTTATAATAATTTAAATAAAGTTTTATTAACGCGCCAAAATTTATGATTAAAAAGCGCAGTGTCTAATGCGACGGTTTTCAAAGTATAAATAACAGTTGCATTCGACGTTGAAGTGTTGCCAAATCAAGTCTCATCCTTTTATACAACGCACTGCCAAATAAACCGCAGGATATCTCAAAATCGAAATAATCCTGAACTTAAAACGCATCCAGGTTCATAAACACAAATCCTGCAACAAAACAAAAACAATTTGTCTAAATTCATAAATTATAAAATTATATAAAATATTTATTCATGAAGATATTATTTATACACCTTATAAATAAATAATTTATGCACAAATCTGCTTCTATTGTTTTCTATCTAGGTATGCTAAACATTTTATAACAGACACAATTAAAGAGGGTTGTTGAATTTGCATTTGCAGTTTAATCTCCTATGCAATTATTCAATGCGGTGGGCAAAAAACACGTACGTGTTGGGAGCGACGCTCGGTATTAATAGCGCGAAGGACGCCGCTTGACATTGGAGTATCTTGTGTGTACGGAACCGTACCCTGAATTTGTTGTGCTCTGGTTATTTCCGGACTAGCCGCGACACTTTTGCCCACCTTAATGCATATCTCCAGGAGCCGGCGGCGATTTTATTTTTGTTTGCGCTTTACATCATCATCCGCCGCAGAAATTCACTTCAAACACGCGAAAATCAATCAAAAAACGAAATTTTGTAATTTTATGAATGAACCGGATATTGCTAACCTACCAACGATTTGATAAAGACATTGATAACACCGGTTGATTCATCAATTGGCGCCGTAAAATAAAATGATTAGAAATTTTTTGTAAAAATTTTCTGTTTTAGCAATTTAATTCACAATTTTTGCAAAAGTGTTTTATTTTTTTGAAAAATATTAAATAAATTTTCAGGAAAAATGCCTTGTAATATTAAAGTTATGGGTAAAAACAAACAGTTTTGATTTTTTAACAAAACGATTACTTTTTGGGACATTTCTTACGTTAACACATATTAATTAATCAATTTTCGTCCAGTTTAAGACAAGTAAACGGATTAAAAATTTAGATTTCAATAAAAATTTTAATTGTTCTTAAAAACTGAACTAAATCTTTATTTTTAATCAATTTAACTAACAATTTGTGCGTTATCTGTTTTATTACAAAAATGATATTTTTCTAGGCAATATTTGCTAAATTTACAAAAAAAAATTTGAAATATTGAAATATGAACGATTTAATTTAGAATAAAAATCAAAATTAATTCTTATGCATAATTTGTTTTTGAATTTTTATGAATTCATGATGATGTAGCTATTTTGTTGGTCGTATGAATGTCTTTTTTTATAGTCTGGCTAATAGACTTATAATTTGCATTAGCAATCTTGTCCGATCCAAAATAAATAACTATCTAATAAAAAATATAAACAAGCAGAACCACCTCGGCGTTTGTTGTTATTCTAACTCGCTGCTAAGTAGGTTTGTAATGTCGAAGTCTAACGTGCTGTCTGGTCGAAATAGTAATAACAAAAAAAACCGCTCGTGCAAAAAATGCTGCCAAATTACGACAGGCTTTCTATTCGCATAATTTTATTACGAGGATGAATCAAGATGATTTGATTATATAAAAATTATAACATTTATTTATTAACTAGACATGGAAAATTTAAAAATGTAAAAAAAATAAAATTCTTTGCATTATTTCACAGATAATCCTTACAAAGTATTTCTTACCGGGTGAAAAAGTATAAGATACGAGTAGGTGCTTATCTATTAGCGACGCTATCAGTACGTACGCTTAAATCGCAAGGTGTGTTTTTCAATTAAAACGTAAACAAGTGGCTGCGCTTATCAACCTGACGAACGCACACACCTACGGTGCATCAACGTGCCGCCGGTATTTGCACTTATTACGAATCGTTCGTTTTCGCAAATTGGCGTTATCGATGCGCAATATTCGTGCCTGTCTAGCCGGGTTGATACCATTACTCTATCGCGATATACAGGGCGTTTTATCACTTACTTCTATTTTAAAACCTATAAGCTAAAAATAATTTTGATAGAATATGTGTTGGGGATCGTGTTTTTACTTTTTAAGGACTGTAAGGTTGGATTTTTCACATGTATGCATAACAACAAATAATAATTAATAAATGTCTAGAATTTCTACTTACCTTGTGTTGTTTTTTGTACACTGCAGCGAATTTTTCGAATTTTTGAAGTTGCATATGGGAAATTTCATTATTAATAATAACTGTGACTGAAAATCATTATAATTTAGTTATTTATTTAACAAAACAAGAATTAGATAGAATAACTCAATACCGACGTCATTAAATTGAAGTATATATTGTTATTAGAGGTTAGATTTAATGAAAAATAGGTTTTTTGCTTTTTTAACTCAACAGTAACGTCAAAACTCACAAAAAATCAGAAAATTTTATTTTTAACAAATTTTACTAAATTTTTGACTAAATTTTTATATATTTTGCAAAAATTAATATTTTTCTGAGCAATATTAGACAAATTTTCAGTAAAAAAAATATTTTGGATTATTTTGGATTTAATTTTGGGGTGAAAATAAATTTTTTTGATTTTTTTACAAAACGTTTACTCTTTGGGAAACTTAATAAAATATAATACATCTAACAAACTAATATACAACTATTACATTTATTCTTAAAGTCAATCGAACTATACATAAAGAAAATATAAATTACAACAACGATTCAGATATAACGCGGTCGATCGGTTATACCTAGATCAAGAACCTAGAACAAGAAACGAAAAAGTAGAGACAAAAACGCGTTGCGTTCCTTTCGTTTTTCATTTTTTATAGTTTAAAGTTTTAATTTGCTTACTCAGGTTTTTACGTACTTGCGTAATTCTCTCATCTCTCGTAAATTACTTTAAAAAATATATTTCATATATTTTATAAATACAATATTTCTTATCATCTCAGCATCTGTATATATTTCATCGATTTCTCTATATATATATTTATATATTTAATTATCATCACAAGTATCGAACGGAATAAATTCTAATTAAATTGTATTTTAATACCCGTTAAACACAAAACTATAAAATAAATATTTATAACATTACAACAATCGCATTCGTACAGAACAAAAACAACAACAACAACAAAGCCTTTTCAACAACTTTTCTTGTTTTTTTCTTTTCTTTGAAATTTCGTTTTCTTGCAGCTGTTGTTGTAACATTTTTAGTATTGTTAACTTTGTTTGATTTGTTTTCCTTCAATAAATATTTTATATATTTGTTTATGTATTGTAAATTGTTTCATTTGCATTTAAGAACACTTTATTATTTAAGGAGATCTAAATTGTTTCAAATAGCGCAGAGTGGTTCTGGTCCGCAGCCAGCGTTACGCGCGTGTATGAAGTGTGAGCTGAATATTTTTCTATGTACAAAGAAGAAACTATCCGTCCTCTTGGGGCGTCACATGGATGAAGAATGCCTTAAGTCTACTACTTGAAGTCTACGTCGATGATAGCAACAAGTCGCGAATTAAAGCTTTCGGTGTTCGCGCATGCGCGTTGCGTACATGTGTTAAAAGTGAAACAAACGCGAGACAAATGAGAGATAAGTCGTGGATTACGGCCCGTAGTCATGCACGATGTCCATTATTCTTTGCCTCTCCTCAGCCCTGTGGAGCAAAAACAAAAAGAAAATGATGTGTAGCGTTTAAAAACAGGAAATTTTCGGGTTTTTGGTCTTACATATTGTGCTGTACGGGGAAGGCGTCTAGATGTTTATTGATTTCTCGATGAATGTGCTCGGGGAGGACGCCGACGTTCGAGAAGAGGTTCCGCAGGACATTCAGCTCCTCCATCAGTAATTCAATGCGCTTCTGCAGGCGGTCGTTCTCTTTGAGCAGCAGCTTCACCTTCTCCTCGGTCTCTCGCGTGCGCACCTTCGCCTTCTCCCTGCTCTTGCGCACAGCAATGTTGTTGCGCTCGCGCCGCCGCCGATACTCATCGCTGTTCTTGTCGCAGGGCTTCATCCCCTTGCGCGCCACATGATGGTGGCTCAACATGGCGGCCTTGGTCTTCATGGCGCTCATGTTCATCTGCTGGTGGTGCAGCACGGTGCTGGGCGTGAGCGTGGTGAAGGAGCCGCCATTGGCGTTCGGGTAACCAGCTGGGGCCTGCAGGTAGTTATTCGGCAGCATGTTATTGCACTGCCGGCGGAATTCCTGTGGATCAATGGGTTCCTCTTTAATACTAGGCACGTCGCTGCCGGCGGAGCTGTTCGAGTCACTATTCGAGTTTTGGACCCCAGAATATGTGGCTCCGCTATGCACCGGCTGCGGCATGTACGCCAGCGTTGTTCGAGGGTAATTTTGGTTTGGAACATGTGTCATTACCTGTCTGGGGATGTTCTGCAAGTGCTTGCCCTGATTCTGCAGGATGTCGTTAAACAGGCCATCGCTAAACTGCGAGTCGTCGATGAGGTTTGCCAAGTCCATCGAGATCTCGGGGCTGTTAAGGTCGTTGAGGTCGCCATGGGTGAAGTGCTGCTGGTGCTGGTGTTGCTTGAGCAGCTGTGCGGTCTGCTTGTTGCCGGTGTTGTTGTTCAGCGTTGTCAGATTATTGTTGTTCATGATGACCGTCTTCTTCACCTCGCTGTTGTTTATCGCCTGCGCCGCTTGATTATGCTGCTGATTGTCATACATCTGTGGCGAGTCCATCTTTGCATTGGAAATTCTCGCCCGTTCAAAATTTCAATTCAAAATTTTTTTATTTGTACTGGTGTACTGGTGCGATCCTCAGTTAGTCCAAAAGTGCGTGTCGAACACGCGCTGAATTTGAATTTTCAACAATGGGTTCCAACTTTCACTCTACCACTTTCACTCCCAAAATATTACAAAGTCTATGTTTTAATTAAGTCCGGGCGCACGCACACGCACTTTCCAATTTCGTATTAGATGCGTATTAGAACCTTTCCGGAGTCAAATCTTCACTGTTTTACAAAACTTTTATGAAAACTATTTAAAAATTAAAATCCAAGCACTGGTCACAGATAAATAAGTCCAATCAAATCCAAAAAGCAAAAAGTTTTCGTGATGCACCGAGTAAACTTTATAAACTTTATTTAAAAAATACTAAACTTTGAAACTTTTCGCGCAAAGTTTAGCGTTTAGCGCCGAAGATGCGTCGCGTCGCGAGTTTTGCCAATAAATAAAATCGAAAGTGCGAAGAAGTCGCGACACGCGGCTCTTTTCCGTCGTCGGGCGTTTTGAATTTTACAGTCGCAGCCCACTTGGGTACCACACGATCCGTGCGCTTGCCCAAGTTAACTAGGATACTGAGATTCTAAAACGCTATTCCTGCCGTTTGTAGTGCTCAGCGCGAGAGGCATGCGCACCACTAACTCGCAGCACGTTGCTTCGCGCGTACTTACTTACTATACGCTCTTGCCTCTCGACGCGTTCGCACTCGCCCGCCTTTGCCGCTCGCTTGAAAGTGAAAACGCTACGCCACTTTTTTTACGATTCTTGCGCGATCGGGCGGGCGCTCGGCGCAGTCGCGCGCCTGCCGCGCATGTAACACTGTACTACACGCTCAAATTTGAATTATTATTGCAGGATTTACACACCAAAAAAGAGAAAATTTTACCCAAAACCAACGATACGATCTGCTTAAGTAAGAGATTATTCTGAACATTAGAAGCAATCGCCCGATGTTTTTGGTTATTTAATTTGTGCTATAAGTAACTGATAGCGGTTGGATGAAAATAAGTTTGCGAGGAACTGTCAACTCGAACGTGTAATAGGCATCAGAATGGAGTACGGAGATTGTATGTCATCATTTGACGTCACACTTCTGATTCACACGTGCAAGAATGTGCATGAGTCGAAAGTGGGTCACTATCTGTTGCGTCGACGCTGTCGCCGTCGCGTTGAAAACATACTTAAGTCGGTTTTAAAACCTGACGCGACATCTGTTGCTTGCTTGCTTAACTGCAAGTTTAATTGTTAAGTTATCTATATATTTATCAGACTGCAAGTGACATAATTTTACTGACTGTCCATTTTACAACACATTTAAATAATTGAATATATTGTGTTCCTCCCTTAATAATAAAATTTTTTAAATAATCATTCTTGTTTTATAAAGAAAACACAATTCTCATTTTTCATCCGTTTCTTTCTATCATTTTTAGTTTACAAGATAATCACAATCAAAATATCAAGCAAAATTTAAAGTCAAACATTCGTGAAACTGTTGTAAATTAATACACATAGCGACGTATCCGTTTAATATTTAGCGTTTATAAATAAATTTGCTATTTGTTTAAACTGTGTGGTGCAAACACATTCACACCGACACGGGCGCCCCACCATTTAAGTGTGTAACCACTCACTGACACACATGCGCACCACACCTTTTCGAAACACTTTATATACTCTTGAAGTAATAAAAAGTATCCTCAGATGGCGCGACAATGAATGTTTAAGTAAAAATACTCCAGCGAGTGAATGTTGTTGTTGTGTTCCATCGGCGCGATAGTGCGATAACGACCGGCACGCGTTTCTCACCTTCCACTGGTGTTATTCTTTAATATAAATTTTATAAAGTACGGTCATGGAAGACAATTATTGTATATATTGATGTGTTTGGTATTTTACTAATTATTTGTCGCGTGTGTAATCTGTGTATTTCTAAATTTTGCGTGTTTGGTCTACGAGTTTGTTTGTGAGTTCATTGCCGTTGGACGACCACCGGTGATTAGTTGTTAACAACAATAATTAAATAATTTGTGCAAAACATCATCATCATCAGCAGATATTTGTGGATTAAAATGCTACCAGGTAAATATTGTCATTTGAAAGATTATCGCGAATACTAGGATTCTTAAGTCAAAAACTAGATTCCGTCGGAACGTAAATATTTTCTGACTGTACGAGTTAGGCTAACTTTTGTTTCGTTTATTCTCTATTTCGGTATTAATTTGCTGAAAGAAAAAAAAGAAAATTTATTTAGCGTGTACCCAAATGTGAAAGTTCTTGGAAAATTAATTTAAAAAATAGTATTTTAACGGTAAACATTTTTCTGAAGAAGCAAAATTTCACTCCAGTAGTCTTAGTTTTCCGGCAATTTGCTTAAATGTGTAAATGTTTCCACAGAAAAATTAAATGGAAAATTTAAAAGTTTTATTGCAAAAGATCCAATGTGTTTTGTTTCTAATAATATTTTGTTCTGCAATAATTTGACGCAATGTGAAAAAATTTTTGATAAAAAATTTACATATTGTCAGTTATTATTTATTTATTTTAATAATGTAAATTGTAGGACTTATATTTGTATAATTCATAGATGGCAATAGCATGAACTAAAAAACATAAAATAGACTTATGCAGTATAGACTTATATTTGTATATCTATTGGCAAACGTGGGCACGCGAATAGTTTTGAATACAATTCTGATACATTTGTGTGTAAACAACATCTTTCTTATCGCAAGCGTCGAACGAAATGCAACGCATAAGAACCCCGTGTGTCGTTTTGCAAGGCGCCCACAAGGTCGCGTACCACCGACGCGCATCGTCTTTACGCATCTCTTGCTTTCGCGTGCCGGGCAGCGGGCTGTGTTAACACAAGTTGTCGTGCGCGTTCTCGGCATATTCGGGTATACAGCGTTTGTTATGTATATTACAAGTCACGTGATAGTGGATTTGATAACATTCTTCACTCGGCGTTGTGTTTGGTGTCGGTTACAAAATTAATCGCTTATATATCGCCGATCCATCAGGCTCGTGTAAGTATTTTTTTAACTAAACAACGCAGGTTGTTTATTTTGTGTTGATTGTTAATTATAACATAATTCAATTGTATGAAAGATTTTTGTTTTAATTTATGATTTCGTTTAGTTACAGCACTCGTTGTGCCTGGCAGTCCGATAAGCTGTACACTGGTAAGTTAATAATTCAATTATATTATGTGCTGAAATTTACATTTGTTGTTTATAAACAAGTTTTCTATTTATCACGTACTACCTTCCTGCAGGGCATGGTGAGGGGGTCAACTGGGATAAACTCTGCGATTCGTTCCTTTCTATCTCTTTTAGTTTCCGTGATATTCGCAATTGAAATAAATCGTCAAAAATTGAAAAATGTCACTTTTTAGCACTTTTAGTCGCGTTTTTACACCTTTTACCCCATTAAATTAAATTATTTTAAAATTCCATCTGATAGAGACTTATCCAGTCTTTTATAATCAGCAATTTGTTGGTTGCTACCTCTTTTGGTTTGAAAGATATTAATTATCGAAAATCGTCGATAAAAATTATCAAGAATTAAAATTCCATCTTTCAGATTTCCGTTTTAACGCCTATCTTATAGGCAATAGTCCGTAGATTAAGATGCTGCGATCAGATCTTAATTATCTCTTTTAGTTTACGAGATATTCGCGATTGAATAAAATGCGCAAAAATTGAAAAATGTCACTTTTTAGCACTTTTAGTCGCGATTTTCGGCTTTTTACTGTAGGAAATATAATTATTTTATATTTCGATCTGATAGAGAATTTTCCAATCTTTCATAATCAACAATTCGTTGGTAGCTATCTCTTTTAGTTTAAGAGATATGAATTTTTGAAAATCGTCGAAAAAAAGTATCAAGCACCCCCCCTTGGCAATTTTTTTCTTAAGACTTAAAATTTCATCTCTCAGATTTGGGTTTTAACTATCCTATCTGATAGAGATTGGTCCGTAGATTAAGATGCTGCGATCAGATCTTAATTATCTCTTTTAGTTTACGAGATATTCGCGATTGAATAAAATGGGCAAAAATTGCAAAATGTCAGTTTTTAGCACTTTTAGTCGCGTTTTTCGACCTTTTACTGTAGGAAATATAATTATTTTATATTTTTATCTGATAGAGAATCTTCCAATCTTACATAATCAACAATTCGTTGGTAGCTATCTCTTTTAGTTTAAGAGATATGAATTTTTGAAAATCGTCGAAAAAAAGTATCAAGCACCCCCCCTTGGCAATTTTTTTCTTAAGACTTAAAATTTCATCTCTCAGATTTGGGTTTTAACTATTCTATCTGATAGAGATTGGTCCGTAGATTAAGATGCTGCGATCAGATCTTAATTATCTCTTTTAGTTTACGAGATATTCGCGATTGAATAAAATGGGCAAAAATTGCAAAATGTCAGTTTTTAGCACTTTTAGTCGCGTTTTTCGACCTTTTACTGTAGGAAATATAATTATTTTATATTTTTATCTGATAGAGAATCTTCCAATCTTTCATAATCAACAATTCGTTGGTAGCTATCTCTTTTAGTTTAAGAGATATGAATTTTTGAAAATCGTCGAAAAAAAGTATCAAGCACCCCCCCTTGGCAATTTTTTCTTAAGACTTAAAATTTCATCTCTCAGATTTCGGTTTTAACTATTCTATCTGATAGAGATTGGTCCGTAGATTAAGACGCTGCGATCAGATCTTAATTATCTCTTTTAGTTTACGAGATATTCGCGATTGAATAAAATGCGCAAAAATTGAAAAATGTCACTTTTCAGCACTTTTAGTCGCGTTTTTCGACCTTTTACTGTAGGAAATATAATTATTTTATATTTTTATCTGATAGAGAATTTTCCAATCTTTCACAATCAACCATTTTCTGGTTGCTATCTCTTTTAATTTAAGAGATATTAATTATTGAAAATCGTCGAAAAAAAGTATCAAGCACCCCCCCTTGGCAATTTTTTCTTAAGAATTAAAATTTCATCTCTCAGATTTGCGTTTAAACTAGCCTATCTTATAGAGAAAAGTCCGTAGATTAAGACGCTGCGATCAGATCTTAATTATCTCTTTTAGTTTACGAGATATTCGCGATTGAATAAAATGGGCAAAAATTGAAAAATGTCACTTTTTAGCACTTTTAGTGGCGTTTTTCGACCTTTTACTGTAGGAATTATAATTGTTTTATATTTTTATCTGATAGAGAATTTTCCAATCTTTCACAATCAACCATTTTCTGGTTGCTATCTCTTTTAATTTAAGAGATATTAATTATTGAAAATCGTCGAAAAAAAGTATCAAGCACCCCCCCTTGGCAATTTTTTCTTAAGACTTAAAATTTCATCTCTCAGATTTCCGTTTAAACTATCCTATCTTATAGAGAATAGTCCGTAGATTAAGACGCTGCGATCAGATCTTAATTATCTCTTTTAGTTTACGAGATATTCGCGATTGAATAAAATGGGCAAAAATTGCAAAATGTCACTTTTTAGCACTTTTAGTCGCGTTTTTCGACCTTTTACTGTAGGAAATATAATTATTTTATATTTTTATCTGATAGAGAATTTTCCAATCTTTCATAATCAACAATTCGTTGGTAGCTATCTCTTTTAGTTTAAGAGATATGAATTTTTGAAAATCGTCGAAAAAAAGTATCAAGCACCCCCCCTTGGCAATTTTTTCTTAAGACTTAAAATTTCATCTCTCAGATTTCCGTTTTAACTATCCTATCTTATAGAGAATAGTCCGTAGATTAAGATGCTGCGATCAGATCTTAATTATCTCTTTTAGTTTACGAGATATTCGCGATTGAATAAAATGGGCAAAATTGCAAAATGTCACTTTTAGCACTTTTAGTCGCGTTTTTCGACCTTTTACTGTAGGAAATATAATTATTTTATATTTTAATCTGATAGAGAATCTTCCAATCTTTCATAATCAACAATTCGTTGGTAGCTATCTCTTTTAGTTAAGAGATATGAATTTTTGAAAATCGTCGAAAAAAGTATCAAGCACCCCCCCTTGGCAATTTTTTTCTTAAGACTTAAAATTTCATCTCTCAGATTTGGGTTTTAACTATCCTATCTGATAGAGATTGGTCCGTAGATTAAGATGCTGCGATCAGATCTTAATTATCTCTTTTAGTTTACGAGATATTCGCGATTGAATAAAATGGGCAAAAATTGCAAAATGTCAGTTTTTAGCACTTTTAGTCGCGTTTTTCGACCTTTTACTGTAGGAAATATAATTATTTTATATTTTTATCTGATAGAGAATCTTCCAATCTTACATAATCAACAATTCGTTGGTAGCTATCTCTTTTAGTTTAAGAGATATGAATTTTTGAAAATCGTCGAAAAAAAGTATCAAGCACCCCTTGGCAATTTTTTCTTAAGACTTAAAATTTCAGCTCTCAGATTTCCGTTTAAACTAGCCTATCTTATAGGAATAGTCCGTAGATGAAGATGCTGCGATCAGATCTTAATTATCTCTTTTAGTTTACGAGATATTCGCGATTGAATAAAATGGGCAAAATTGCAAAATGTCAGTTTTAGCACTTTCAGTCGCGTTTTTCGACATTTTATAGGAAATATAATTATTTTATATTTTAATCTGATAGAGAATCTTCCAATCTTACATAATCAACAATTCGTTGGTAGCTATCTCTTTTAGTTAAGAGATATGAATTTTTGAAAATCGTCGAAAAAAAGTATCAAGCACCCCCCCTTGGCAATTTTTTTCTTAAGACTTAAAATTTCATCTCTCAGATTTGGGTTTTAACTATTCTATCTGATAGAGATTGGTCCGTAGATTAAGATGCTGCGATCAGATCTTAATTATCTCTTTTAGTTTACGAGATATTCGCGATTGAATAAATGGGCAAAAATTGCAAAATGTCAGTTTTAGCACTTTTAGTCGCGTTTTCGACATTTTACTGTAGGAAATATAATTATTTTATATTATTATCATTTTCCTAAATAACTTTTATGATTATCGTACAAATTGACCCCCAAAATTGCATTTTTATGTTCGAAGGACTAATTTTTGCTTGTTTTAGGGATTTTGCACCTGAGTCTGACATCGTAGAAGGACCATTCTGGTATCAGATTGTAAGTATTTAATTCCTTTATCATTTTCCTAAATAACTTTTATGATTATCGTACAAATTGACCCCAAAATTGCATTTTTATGTTCGAAGGACTAATTTTTGCTTGTTTTAGGGATTTTGCACCTGAGTCTGACATCGTAGAAGGACCATTCTGGTATCAGATTGTAAGTAATTAATTCCTTTATCATTTTCCTAAATAACTTTTATGATTATCGTACAAATTGACCCCCAAAATTGCATTTTTATGTTCGAAGGACTAATTTTTGCTTGTTTTAGGGATTTTGCACCTGAGTCTGACATCGTAGAAGGACCATTCTGGTATCAGATTGTAAGTAATTAATTCCTTTATCATTTTCCTAAATAACTTTTATGATTATCGTACAAATTGACCCCAAAATTGCATTTTTATGTTCGAAGGACTAATTTTTGCTTGTTTTAGGGATTTTGCACCTGAGTCTGACATCGTAGAAGGACCATTCTTGCATCAGATTGTAAGTAATTAATTCCTTTATCATTTTCCTAAATAACTTTTATGATTATCGTACAAATTGACCCCCAAAATTGCATTTTTATGTTCGAAGGACTAATTTTTGCTTGTTTTAGGGATTTTGCACCTGAGTCTGACATCGTAGAAGGACCATTCTGGTATCAGATTGTAAGTAATTAATTCCTTTATCATTTTCCTAAATAACTTTTATGATTATCGTACAAATTGACCCCCAAAATTGCATTTTTATGTTCGAAGGACTAATTTTTGCTTGTTTTAGGGATTTTGCACCTGAGTCTGACATCGTAGAAGGACCATTCTTGCATCAGATTGTTAGTATTAAATTTCATTATCTTAAATAACTTTTGTGATTATTACACAAATTGACTCCCAAAATTTATGCTTGTGTGTTTTCTTTAATAAAGAATATTTTTAAGTTTTTCTAATTATAATTATTTCTGTTATTTCTACCTGATCACATATTTAACGATTCCTTAAACCATTTATTTTGAAAAGTGCATGCTAGTGCCATCTATCAATTAGAAACTACAACAACCGAAAGTTTTGAGCTTCGGTCCGTCGCCACCAGAGGCAGCACATTACTAGTTGCCGCGAAAACTTTATCAGCCTCCTCAACTTTCTGCGATCCTAATATTCAATCTTTATTTTGTCGACTCTGAGAGGCAAAATGACACAAAATTTGGACTCGAAACAGTCGAAACTCAGGTTTTGGTATTCGGATCGCAGAAAGGGTGAGGAGGTAGGTAAATAAAAGAGGCGGTAAGTAGTAATGGCGGGATACATTAATGTTTAAAAATCTTTATTCAGCAAATTCAGTTTTCAAATTCTGAAGGATCTCGACAACTAAGAGGGCTAGAAAATTAAGAACTACATAATCTTGATCCTTGAAAAATTCTCTCATTATTGAAAAATCATCAAAATGGCACAAAAAAATTTTTAAGAAAAGATTTTGTTATAAAAAAGGCAAAAGATTTCTCTTTTTTATGATGAAAATTAAAAGTGGGAATTTGGCGTTAACTGCCTATGTCCACTTTCTGCGTTCCTAATACGACAGACAGATGAGCAGCAACATTTCAGCAAATTTCTCGACAAATTTTGTCGAGAAATCCATTGAAATTGGTAACAAAAATCTTTTGAATATTAGGATCGCAGAAAGTGCAGGAGGCTGAATCTCCAGCAATCTTGAATAGCGGCGTAGTTTAGTTACTCGTGGATAGATGACACTAGTGATACCGTTTTTAAATTAATATTGATACAATATAAAATTGATTTTGAACTATTTCTCATATCTAGCAGTGGCATTTCCATTAAAGTTTAAGGGATTCATGGATTAATTAAAGGAGTAACGATGTTGTGAGCTATGTTCACCGTTGGGGACAAATAACACGAAAAAAAATTTATAGTTTAAAATATAAAACAACAATTTTATTGGAACATGTAGAATCACAAACTCAATTTCTCAATATATACACAATTTTTAACGAAACATGCATGAAAACAGGATAATAATATGCTATTATATAATGCTCTTTTTATATCTTTTAACAAAATACATAAAAATGATATCAATATGAGCTTCAAAATGTTGTAAATTCATTCAATCGTATTTGGAATCATCATCAACACCGGCAATCCAATCTTCAATTTCTTGGACACTATAAAACAGAATGAAAAACAGAATAGTAAAATATTAAATATTATAAATTGCCAAAATATAACATACGTTCTGGGTATTTTAGTCCAGTTGACACATCCATCTTCAGTAAACAAAACATCATCCTCAATACGCACTCCACCAGTACCACGGAACCTCTCCAGTTGGTCCTTATTGATAAAGTTGTCCATCTCAGGATTAGCCAATGCTTCATTCAACAACTGGAAAATGTTTATGTAAATGAAATATACATATACATAAATTAAATTAATTATTCTTACAGGATCCATAAAGACTCCCATTTAAAGCAACGTACGAAGATAGCGGTAGAAGTTACACCCATTTAGGGCACCGTAGAAGGGTAGCGTTAACGTTTACGTTAATGAAGAACTCATCGGACTCCATGGTACAGCGAATACTGTAAAAAACATAAGTTAAAACAACTTGCATAAGTATGCATACAAAACACGAAAAGTATCACCACTTTTGATCAATAATGTACATTAAACGCGGCAATAGTAAATAACAGCAACAAGGAAAATCTTCTAATTTTTCTCAATTTGTTCAAAAATTAAACGCGATAGAAAAAAACAGATTAAAAATTCTTAAATTAGGGAAAATTTTCTAAAAATCTTATTTTTATTATTGAAAATTTAAGAGATAAAATTTTAATACACACAACTTTCAATATAACTCGCGTTAGGGAATTTTCTCGCAATAAATTCAAACACAGGGTGAGACAGAATCAAATTGCGCATCTGGTAAAATTATTCTGTACTTATTATGACGCCGCGTTCGCATGCTATATTAAAAAAAACTACAATTCCTAGCGCAACGAGTACTACGGCGCATACACACAACTGTCAATATAACTCGCGTTACGGAATTTTCTCGCAATAAATTCAAACACAGGATGATACAGAATTAAATTGCGCATCTGGAGAAATTATTCTGAACTTATTATGACACCGCGTTCGCATGCTATATTAAAAAAACTACAATTCCTAGCGCAACGAGTACTACGGCGCATACACACAACTTTCAATATAACTCGCGTTACGGAATTTTCTCGCAATAAATTCAAACACAGGGTGATACAGAATTAAATTGCGCATCTAAAAATTTATCTGAACTTATTATGACACCGCGTTCGCGTGTTATATTAAAAAAACTACAATTCCTAGCGCAACGAGTACTACGGCGCATACACACAACTTTCAATATAACTCGCGTTACGGAATTTTCTGGCAATAAATTCAAACACAGGGTGATACAGAATTAAATTGCACATCTGGGAAAATTATTGCTGAACTTATTATGACACCGCGTTCGCATGCTATATTAAAAAACTACAATTCCTAGCGCAACGAGTACTACGGCGCATACACACAACTTTCAATATAACTCGCGTTACGGAATTTTCTCGCAATAAATTCAAACACAGGGTGATACAGAATTAAATTGCGCATCTGGGAAAATTATTCTGAACTTATTATGACACCGCGTTCGCATGCTATATTAAAAACTACAATTCCTAGCGCAACGAGTACTACGGCGCAAACACACAACTTTCAATATAACTCGCGTTACGGAATTTTCTCGCAATAAATTCAAATACAGGGTGATACAGAATTAAATTCCGCATCTGGAAAATTTATCTGAACTTATTATGACACCGCGTTCGCATGTTATACTAAAAAACTACAATTCCTAGCGCAACGAGTACTACGGCGCAAACACACAACTTTCAATATAACTCGCGTTACGGAATTTTCTCGCAATAAATTCAAATACAGGGTGATACAGAATTAAATTCCACATCTGGAAAAATTATTCAGAACTTATTATGACACCGCGTTCGCGTGTTATATTAAAAAAACTACAATTCCTAGCGCAATGAGTACTACGGCGCATACACACAACTTTCAATATAACTCGCGTTACGGAATTTTCTGGCAATAAATTCAAACACAGGGTGATACAGAATTAAATTGCACATCTAGGAAAATTAATCTGAACTTATTATGACGCCGCGTTCGCATGCTATATTAAAAAAACTACAATTCCTAGCGCAACGAGTACTACGGCGCATACACACAACTTTCAATATAACTCGCGTTACGGAATTTTCTGGCAATAAATTCAAACACAAAGTGGTACAGAATTAAATTGCACATCTGGAAAATTATACTGAACTTATTATGACACCGCGTTCGCGTGTTATATTAAAAACTACAATTCCTAGCGCAACAAGTACTACGGCGCATACACACAACTTTCAATATAACTCGCGTTACGGAATTTTCTGGCAATAAATTCAAACACAGGGTGATACAGAATTAAATTGCACATCTAGGAAAATTAATCTGAACTTATTATGACGCCGCGTTCGCATGCTATATTAAAAAAACTACAATTCCTAGCGCAACGAGTACTACGGCGCTCACACACAACTATCAATATAACTCGCGTCACGGAATTTTCTCGCAATAATTTCCAATACAGGGAGATACAGAATTACATTCCGCATCAGGGAAAATTATTGCGAACTTAGTGTGACAACGCGTTCGCGTGTTATACTAAAAACAACAATTCCTAGCGCAACGAGTACTACGGCGCACACACACAACTATCAATATAACTCGCGTTACGGAATTTTCGCGCAGTAACTATCGATACAAGGAGATACAGAATTAAATTCTGCATCTGGAAAAATTATTTCGAACTAATTGTGACACCGCATTCGCGTGTTATAACAAAAAAACTACAATTCCTAGCGCAACAAGTAATACGGCGCTCACACACAACTTTCAATATAACTCGCGTTACGGAATTTTCTTCCCATAAATTATGATACAGAGAGATACAGAATTAAATTCTGCATCTAAAAAAATTATTCTTAACTTATTGTGGCACCGCCTTCGCGTGTTATAACATAAGAACTACAATCACCTATCAACATGCCTCGCAACTTTCAATATAACTCGCGTTACGGAATTTTCTGTCAATAAATTCGTATACAGGGTGATACAGATTGAAATTCCGCATCTGGGAAAATTATTCTGAACTTATTATAACACCGCGTTTGCATGATATACTAAAAGAAATACAATTCCTAGCGTAACAAGTACTACGGCGCATACACGCAACTTTCGATATAACTCGCGTTACTCGCGTTGTCGCTATAACTTCATATACAGGGTGATACAGATTGAAATTCCGCATCTGGAAAAATTATTCTGAACTTACTACAACCCCGCGTTCGCATGCTATACTAAAAAAATTACAATGCCTAGCGCAACGAGTACTACGGCGCATACATGCAACTATCAATATAACTCGCGTTACGGAATTTTCTCGCAATAAATTCAGATACCGGGTGATACAGATTGAAATTCCGCATCTGGGAAAATTATTCTGAACTTACTACGACCACGCGTTCGCATGCTAAACTAAAAAAAAACTACAATTCCTAGCGCAACGAGTATTACGGCGCATACACGCAACTTTCAATATAACTCGCGTTACGGAATTTTCTCGCAATAAATTTTAATACAGGGTGATACAGAATTAAATACCGCATCTGTGACCGGTTTTCCACCAGCTGTTTTAAACATTAAAAAAAGGGCAAAAATTGGCAAATTTTAGGGGCAATTTTGAGGCACTAAAGGTGGAGTTTTGCGCTGGGACAAAATTGCGTTGTAAAGATAAACTCTTGTCCTAACAGAATTTCAAGAAAAAGTGACAATGTCGCAAAGGGTTTCCAAGATTTTCACCAGCTGTTTTGAAAAACTTTTAAAAAAGGCAAATTTTAGCGGCCATTTTGGCAACATTGCATCTTGAAGATAAATTCTTGCCTTAAATGAATCCAAAGAAAAAATGAAAATTTCGCGAAGGGTTCCTGAGTTATGCCTGATTTTGCTCAGGCTGTTTTGAAAAAATTCAAAAAAAGGGCTAAGTTTAACGGCCATTCTGAGGCACTTAAGGTGTAAATTCAGGATGAATTGCATCTTCCAGATAAACTCTTGCACTAACAAAATCCGATGAAAAAATGCAAATGTTACTGATGGTTCGCGAGATATAACCTGTTTTTTACGCCAAGTATTGAAAAATGTAAAAAGAGGGCACAGGTTAGCGGCTGTTTTAAGACCTTTAGCGGCAAATTCTGCGGAATCGCAGGGATGCATCGTCTCGGAGAGCTATTGCGGTGACATACTCGTAGTAAGAACAAAAAACTAAAAGTAATTTTTTTATGTATCGGCACGGCAAGCGACTATTTTGTGTCATTCAAACACGTTAGTGTAACACGATAAAAGAGAACTTGTTTACGCGTATATACGAACACACAATTGACGAATACCTTGAAAATATAATTCAATTAACAACTTACCAATGCTTCAGTTCAGGGGACTGCAAAGCACAGCATCTATTGTAATTAAAAGAAAACGAGTTAAAACATCTATTAAGATACATATAATAAAAATAATATATTTACAAATTAGAGATATACAAACAATCTGTACTGCGTAGTTAAAAGTTACTTACACAAGCAAGATAGATCATGTGAATGAAAAGAATCAATATAGTGGTAATAAGTATTCGATTCTATTTGCAATCAAAACCGAACATAACATCGGCTGCGGTGTTAGCCTTGCGGCCATCTAACAATTTGCAATATCCACAACAAGCGCGATCAGAAAACTAGCATTTATGCACATTAGACACGTGAATAGTTATTAAGAAAATATATACACCACATGCAACCAAATTCTCGATTTTCAATTTAATACAACGCGAATGACCGAACCAAAATATAACAAAATGCAATGTACAGTGAGGAACGCGTGCGAATCAACCAGAAACCGGCACGAAACTAACTGCAACATAGCTGAATATACCGAGAGTGCACAAGATAGCTGATGATAAGATAAAACAGCGCGCTGCACGGCATGCGAAAGCAAGAGATGCGCAAAGCAGACGCGCGAATTGCAATAGCCGCGATACCTGCGATATATACTAAACACGAATGTGCTGCATGCGGCTCTACGCACACGGGGATCTTACTCGTATGTGTTGCATTTCGCTCGGCGCAGGCGATAAAAATGTTGTTTACACACAAATTCAGATAACAGAATTGTGTTAAAAACTATTCTCGTGCATCAAATAAATATAAAAATAAGCAGTACAAGTTTATTTTATAATTATTAATTCATGCTGGTGCCATCTATGAATTTATAATAAATCATTCAAAATTTGAATTATTTTATCCTTAAAACATTAAAAAAAAGCATTTAATTTCCCATTTTGATTTTCCTGCAATAAATTACTTTTACTATTTGTCAAATTACAAAAAATTGTTAATTTTAGAGCAACATTAATATTTAAAATAATTAGATCAGTTTCACTGTAATCTGTACTTGCTCTCATTAACAAACAAGACTTAAGTACAGTTAACTAGTTTTGTATGTTATCGTCGTCCAACTAGAGTCCGCCAGAGCGCGGACTACCGTTTTAAACTTCAATGAAAATCGTTTAGTGCGTCGTTACGCGCTACTGAGTCCAAAGTTCAAAAAGATTAATCCAATATATCTAACTAACTGATTCCCCTCGTTACTTTTCATTGTTGACAATTTACACATGATATCTCAAAAGTTACAAGCTATACATTCATTTCTTAAACTTTACTCTATCCCAAAACTCTTCTTTTACTTAAACACCAAAAATATCTATTAAACAACATATTACAATTATTTACTGTTAGCAATTCTCGTGCTAGAAACCAAACGATCTGCAAGTTGCACGAAAGAAGCACCGTTATATTGCTCGAACGGTGTTACGGCTTTTCTGGTTTTATCGCGATACAATTGATGCGGCCGATGGCTTCCTCTCCAACATGTTGAACTTCGGCTGCGTCGCATTCAATAATGAAAGAGAAAAAAAGACAGACAGTAATTGTGCTCGGCTTTTATCTGGTGCAGTTGTTTCTGGTTGTCGTGGCTGCGGGTGGCGTGTTCAAGGCGGTTAAGTTTTTGGTTCATTTGACTTATCCCGGCTTAAGCCATGGAGACATGCGCATACCCACTATTACATCATGGAGTGCTTTCATTGACGGGCTTGCATAGACGCGCTAGGCACGATCGGCACGATAGTGTGTCGTTAGTCGTCGTCTCGCTTAATAAGTTAATATTTCAGGGCAAGTTCACTCACGAACTCGATGCTCTCGCATCGTTTTCGAGCATTATACACATTTTAACTGCTAAAACAGCCGGAACGGTTGTAAATTTATTACGTGAAAATGGTACGAAAATTACCTCATAAATTTTGCTATTTTTTAAACATAATATCGTAAATTTACTATAAAATTTAATTGATTGTAGATTTACACAGTGCTTGCAACAATTAGTTTCCTGATCTTTTTGCTGTCAAATCGTCGATATCGATGGATTTACATCATTTACAAAACATATCGCAGAGATCTCACGTAAGTCTTATTAATAATTAAAATTTTAAGTGCGTTTTGGAATATTTGAATGAATTATTGATGCGCTAAATGCATGCACTGAACTTTATTGTTATAGGTGTCAAAAGTACAATAGAAAGATTTAAATATTTGATTTGAATTTAACCTTGCTAAAAATTAGATCACTATGTGAAAGGGTAAATATTAATTTATGTTTTGAATGGGGTGAAGTTGCAATTGTAGTTGAATAAATATTAATTGTGATGTTAAATTGTGATGCGGTCGGCAATAGGAAACAAAACACGCAATCATCCGACACAATGTTATGGGGGTCAGTTACCGGCATTGATCATCAGATCATTTCTAAACATAACTTAAGTCTCCATAATTAAAATTAATGTGTTTTTATTTTTTTATGAAAATATTATTTTACCCATTTTTAAGGCTTATCATAACATATATTTATTATAAATTCAAATATAATTGTATTTTTGTGTTTCTATGTTTGTTTGTTACTCTTTGACGCAAAAATTACTGAACCAATTTTAATGAAACTTTATAAAGATAAAGTTTATTCATTAAAATATAACATGGGCTATTGATTATAATTATCACGCGTTTAAAAAATGTTTAAATAATTTCTGTATGAATGTGGTTGGGCACTTGCCTCTATTGAATAACAATATTTTAATATAATTATTGTTCTCTGGAGTTTGGAACCCGTTCGGTGATTGTCATTATCAGAATCAAAACACTCACATTTCAACATTATTGTTTATCATATTTTAAGCTACTACAACTTTACAACTTACAATATTATGATATTGCAAGTCATTCTTTAATTTTTATTTCAAATATTTTTAAAGATTTTTCTTGTTCTATTTTTTCAGAGCTTTTAAGCGTTTTGTACATTTAAATATTCGCATGTGGTATCTACAGAAAACCAACACGACAGTGGTAAAAGCGTTTAAAAAATGCGCCGAGAAACATCCGGATAAAATTGCAATACATTTTCAAGATTCCTCGTGGACTTTTAAACAGGTAAACTTAAAAGATTGAAAATCAACTCCACGTGTTTATAGATCTGTTTACATATTTATCACCATATTTATTTATAGTTTGATATCGTAACATAATATTTATTTACTTTCCAGTTAGATGATTTCAGTGATAAAATTGGCACGTATTTCAAAAACGCCGGTTATCAGCAAAATGACACAGTGGCTTTGCTTTTGATGGGAAGACCGGAATACGTCGGGATTTGGTTAGGCTTAGCCAAAATTGGAGTTGTCACTGCGTTAGTCAATACAAATTTATCCAACGAGCCATTGTTGCATTCCCTGAGGGCAGCTAAAGCAAAAAGTTTAATTTATGGCTCGGAATTTAAAACTGGTAATAATAAATTTCCAAAACAAGAAAAATCACAAAAATTACAGTGATTTTTATTTTCAGTGATTAATAATGTGGTGGATAATATACAAAATCTTCCCCTTTATGAGTTATCAGAGACTGACAATAACACAGAAGTTGATTCCTCGAGGATTAACTTGAGAAATGAATTAAACACAGTCCAAACAGAATCTTTGAGTAAATATTACTCCAAAATCAATGCCAAAGATAAATTAATGTATATTTACACTTCCGGGACGACTGGATTACCCAAAGCTGCTGTTATCACAAATAGTAGGCAAGATATACAGAGTGTTAATCATTTTTATTCAAAAAATTAACATTAAATATTTCAGATATATTTTCATGACGAATGCATGTAATGTTATGACAGCCATGGACGATTCAGATGTTTTATATGATCCTCTTCCTTTGTATCACACTGCTGGTGGAATTGTAGGTTTGGGCCAATGTGTAGTAAATGGATTAACCGTGGCCATTCGCAAAAAGTTTTCAGCGAGTAATTTTTGGCCTGATTGCACTAAATACAAGTGCACTGTATGTTTAACCTCAAAACATAACCTATCATAACCTAACTTTTAAAAAATGTTTTAGTGCGCTCAGTATATCGGAGAATTATGTAGATATCTCCTGGCTGTACCAGAGAAACCTAATGAAAACACCACGGTCAAAATGATGGTCGGAAATGGGCTGAAAGCCCAAATTTGGGAAAAATTCGTCAAACGGTTCAATATCCAGCAAGTCTACGAGTTGTACGGATCTACTGAAGGAAATTCTAATTTAAGTACGTATACCATTCCACAGTAAAACTTTATTTCATTTCATATTATATGATTATATGACGTATGAATGCGTAGGGAGGATTGTAATCACGCGATGTGTCAATTGCAGTTAATTTGGACAGTAAGGTCGGTGCAGTGGGTTTTACGCCGCGGTACGCGTGCGGTCTGCATCCAGTCACGCTCGTCCGATGCGATGATAATGGCGTGCCAATTAGGAACGCCAAAGGTCACTGCATCGAATGCCAAATCGAGGAACCGGGCGTATTCGTCGGTAAAATCGTCCACAAAAAAGTCTTCAACGAGTTCGTTGGTTATGCGGATGACGATGCAACGAGTAAGAAAATTCTGAAAAATGTCTTCAAACAAGGAGATCGCTATTTTAACAGTGGAGATGTCCTGGTTCAGGATGAATTGGGGTATTTTTATTTCAAGGATAGAACTGGGGATACTTTTAGGTAATTTTTTTATTTTTTTAAGATTAAAACTAATAGAACGCAAAATATGATTTTTTTAGATGGAAAGGTGAAAATGTTGCGACGTCAGAAGTCGAAGCTGTTATCAGTAATATTGTTAACTTGAACGATGCTGTTGTTTATGGCGTAGAGGTAAATATAACAAAAAAAATCAAAAAGTGAAAAAATAATAATTTACTTACAGATCCCGAACACAGATGGCAGAGCTGGCATGGCAGCCATTGTCGATGAAAGTAACACTTTGGATTTAAACAAATTCGGGAAGGAAGTTGTTAAGTCACTTCCCGCATACGCTTTGCCTCTATTTTTACGCATCATGAAAGAAGTACCACTGACAGGTACCTTTAAACTGAAGAAAGTTGATCTTCAAAAAGACGGATTCAATGTAAACAAAATTCAGGACAAATTGTATGTATATGATTTCAAAGCCAAGCAATACATGCTTTTAACCAAAGATATCTATGAAGACATTTTAAGTGGGAAAGTCAGGTTATAAATCATTTTTATAAACTTCAAAACACCAAAAAGGATATATCGTCTAAAATTAAAGAAATAAATGTGATTATACATATTCTATTATTTTTATATCATTTCATAACCTTAATTTAAAGCTCTCCAGTTCTGAATATTTTAATTAATCCATCAACATTTTGATTCTTGATTGCATTCCGGCAGAAACCAATCATATTCGCTGATTTTATCCCCACTAAAATTAATAATAAAAAAATTTATAAATTAAGTTGCACAAAACAAGAATTAATGAAACTTAACCTCAATTTTTAGCTTAGTTTAATAGATTTAAATCATTTACTAACCTCTAAGTCTAGTGGACTTTTGCAAAATAGAATTTATCATCTTCATAGTCTCAACACCTTCGTTATAATTCTGCAAACGAATATTATAACCATTTATAAGTTCCTGATTAATATTATTCAAAGCATTGTAATAAAGAGGAACTTGATCCGGCGCGTTGATCCGTGAATCTTCTCCTCGAATAATAAACCCACGAATCTGCCCCAGTCTATCAGCAATATCAGTACCCAAACGTACTCTCGCCTCTTGAATCTCATTTAATTTCGTGATATATTCACGAATCTTCTGTTCTTCAGCCGGGAAATGTGCTGTGGACTTTAAAAACATTATTAAAAATCACGTAAAATGAAAATATTTAAAATTATATTAAATATATTTACTTCTAAAGTCTCTATATTATTGAAACTAGCCAATGACTGTACTAAATCAGCAGCCAGCTGCAAATTATCCGTGAAAATCTGCACTTTTCCCGAAATACCAAAATGCATCTCCAAATCCTTATTATCTCTCAAACAGCGAAGATGTACTTTCAAATCCGGCGTCGCATCCACTTCGATATCCTTCGTAAGCAGAAAGTTCTGATTAATCCACATGCAGATACGCTGCAAGCGCTCGTTGATCTTAAACTGAACGTAGCTCTGCGCAAGACAAGGCTTGTTCTCAAGGAGAGCATACATCGAGAATCGTGGCAATTGTCGTGTTACCTCAAAGACATGAAACTGGCTGCTGTTCGGAAAGCCGACTAATGCCTGCAACCAGCCATAAATCAACATGGTATAGACAAAAACTTTTTGTTGTTTCTATTTATTATCTTTGTACCTTGAGGTGAATGTCAACTGGATTATCCTTCGGCGGATGGAGACGCACGTGCGCCTCGGACGACAAGCGACTTTGATGTGGGTGGACCACGCGTGTCTCGCCTTTGAATATCCCTTCGGCGAACACGATGACAGCTTTGATAATTGTATGATTGTTGGTAGTTATGTAGATTTCCACATAACTCTGTAAGAATTTTTTTGTTAGGAGTAATAGTAGTATAGTAGTAGTATAGTAAGTATTGGAAAGGTATTTATTTAAATAATAACTGACCGATTCATTATTGCTGTCGTTGGTTGAGATGGCAATCTGTAAGCGAGTGTTTGCTGGTATGACATTACCATGTTCAAGATTTTCATCGCGTTTTTCAATTTCATCGTTCACACGATTGTTGTTTTCGTAGTGTTTTAATTCCATAAGAAGGACTTGTTTTTGGGCGAGGAGATCTCGTACTGTGTCTTGTTCCACTCCACTTCCGGGAGCAATTGACATGGATTTAGTTGTAGTATATCCACGGACTGAAGAAGAAAAATAAAGAATTATATTTTTTTAATTTTTTTGTTTTGAGAGAATTTTATGTTTATTTTTTGCTAAGAAATTTGCTAAAAAACGATTATTTTTTAAATTCATATTTTTTACCTTCGCCATCAGTAGAAACACAAATAAGATCCGCCCTTCCAATTGATCTATAGTCTCCTTCGACAATTCCGGCACAGCCATGATTGAGCGCATCTTTGAACAACACCTCGCCGGTTCTTATCGACCGGCAATCGATTTTCCCACTCGACCAGCCGATGATTAATTGCGACGAGCCTTGCCCGAGCAGATCGTAGCAAAAGATCGAAATAGCAAAGTTCTTCGACTATACAAACACAAAAACGAAAACAATTATAATCAACAAACCGACCAACCAACTACAACTAGTTTATATTATTTATCATTACTTTCACACGCCAAAGACGCACATCCTGTTCATATACACCAACCGTACCATTCGCCACTGAATATGCAAAACGATTCTCCGACAACGCGACCAACGAAGTGACTTTTTCAGTTTCAGTATGCTCGGCAATCACTTGATCACCTTTGAATACACGGATGTTGAAATCGGCCGAGCTTACAACCAACTAAAATTTAATTTGATTTGATTTTGTGTTTTATTGCGTTGTTTGTGTGGGTTTTGATAAAATATTGTTTTACTTCATTGTAACCGTCCTTATTGTAATCTAAGAGTATGAGTGAGGTCACCACGTCGCCAATGGCGACCCAGAAGATTTCATTGCCGGCGTGGTCGTAGCCGTGAATAGTGGAGTTGCCACCGGCCAAAATCATCGGCGTTTTGTTATCGCTGAAGTGGCCCAGCGCGATCGCCTTCACGCCATCGACGCATTCTTTATACAATATATCTTTATTGTCGTGGACGTGATAAGCGAGTAAATGCGTTGGTGTACCTGTTAAAAAACAAACATTTACAATTTTTGCATCTTAAATCTTAAAGCAAAAATTGGGAATTTGCATGAAAGGAAATTAGTGTTACAAATGTAATTAATATATTCATTAATAAGCAAAAAAACGAAAAAATTAAATTTAGCCAACAGTTTTGTGTGATTGAGTGATTTATTTCTATAAAAGTGTAAAAAAAACTAAGATTATAAGCAAAACAAATTTTTTAATAAATTTTTGTCATAAATTTGTTATAATAACTTAAAATTGCATTAAAACACGATAAGAAAATCACTTGCAAAAACCCAATTTCTACATCTTATCACAAGTTGCAAACCTACCAACTATTAATACATCTTTGTCTTCCTGCGGCAGTAAAACGCCGGCGGCGATTGCGGTGATGGACTGATTAATATTCAGCGTTGCGATTTCGCGATTTGTTTCCGACCAGACCACACGCCCGCTTATCACCGAGGTTTTCCTATGCGGACTATGAATCAACACCTATACAGAAACAAAAACTTTAGTTTACTACCACCAACACAAATTGGTTGTTAATCTATATTTATTACGCGTGTGTTGTTTGGCAAGCGTATACAAACCTTATCAGCGAAAGTGGCTGCCGTTAAACACGGATGCGTGCCATCGTACTTGCCGATGGTGATAAGACTCGGTATGATTTTATAGTTCAGCTCCAAGGTGAACACCGGTCTAATTGCCTTGTCCATTCCGATGATCAAACCAACTTCAACTTTAGAAAACACAAAACAAAACACCAAATCCACAACACAATCCACTTTCGGAATACAATAGAAATGAATTTCGTGATAGTGTTGTGATTGTCGAGTTGCCTTGACGACGTCGCAATACAAACAAAATTCCTTAACTTGAATTAAGATGTAAAATATTTATTTGTTTTTAAAAGAACACAGTTACATTATAAACTGACATGACATAGATTTTTATAAATTAATCCATGCATGCGATGCGATTTCATTTTTGGCAGTTAACTTCATAGCGTTGTGGAAAAATGAACACATAACATGTTTAAAATTAGAATCATTTAAATATCGTAATAAATATTATCAAATAAATCCTAGATTCGACGCTGGGCGATTTCCGGCAGGGCGCCCAACACGAAAGATTCGATATCGCACTCGTTCGATCCGCGCAGAATCCGGAAGTAGCCATTTTCACCCCATTGAGTTCCCCAGGAATTCGCAACTTTCTATTAAATAAAAAAAAACACAAAAACATAAAATTTTAAATTTTAACATTTTTAGGTTATATTACCCAATATTTTGTACTTCCGGTATAACTATACTCTTCCCCCCATCCGACGATCCTCACACTATGATACCCAGTCCTATCATTCTCGGATAAATCAGTATGTTGATAGATTCCACTTCTATACGTGAAGAAATCATGATAGACCTTAATTGTCGCTGTAAACAAACAAAATCAGGTCAAACAACGTCATACAGAACGAATAAATCAATCAAAAACCTTGAACTGGTCCTGACGTTAGAATCTCTTGCATTATATCAGTCTCATTGCCGAGTCTGTACGCTGGCCCAACTCGGTAGTATTCCTTTCTGTCAACATGCGTCGGTGGCGTACATCTTGCAGTCAGCAGGTTACCACGACGAGGAAGGTGACACTTTTCCGTTCTTGCTTGATATGGTAAACATCTTTCGTCTACAATACTAAAAAAACGCAATTTAAAGTAAATAAAAAGTAAAAATAGTAAAATGTATATTTGGTTGCATACCCAAACTTCCTGAAAAACTGCCACGCCCGATCTAGATATCCACCATTACAACTCTGTTGGCCACGATTATCACAGTTCAATAAATGTTGCGCACTCAATGTGGGTTCTTCTAATCCTTTCGAGATGATTGCATATCTATAATATTATCACGTTTTTTTTTTTATGTCATTTTAAGTGTTTTCTACCTGTCTGATGCAACAGCTGTAGTAGACAAAGCCCAGGATGATCCGCACCATCCTTGATCCTGCACGAGACCAATTTTTCCAGGCCACATCTCTTCAGCGTCAAATTGTTTTGGTAAACTATACGGATCGTAAATTCTTTTTACAGGATTCATTTGTAGGACAAATCTATGCGGTTGTAATGTCCCCAATCTATATTTTTAATAAAAATATAATTTTATTATCTACTCAAGTGTTATTCAAGATATTGTTGAATACCTTAGCCTAATACCATCACTCAAAGTGCGTCCCCAAAACGCAGAGTAATTCGCGGCTTGCCAGCCGTATCTAGACGACATCTGGTTGAGGGTATTAACCATTTCCGGTTCGATCAAACATTTATTCGTTTCACACAACAATTCAACGTTATCGCCAATTTTACCGCATTTACTGCAATATTAAACGAGTTAAATTTATAAATAGCAAATAATTGTGGTTATGTTATGTTGTGTTACCATGAATTACAGTTTTCTGTAACAGTCTGCCCGGGTAAAATAGGTCGATTATGATGATGGCAGTATTTCATTTCAATGGGCGCTGGTGCGCCTTGGCACACCGTTCGGAAATCAGGACAACAATCGTCATTGGTGGTCCGGTCGCAAAATTCATCACAATAGCACATTGTGTCTAAAATTGGCGCCGCGCATTCGTCCTGGCGGCCATTACAACACCGCACTTTGCCACAATATGGCCCCGGGGGTAAATCGCCATAATCATGGATGGAATATGCGCATGGCAATAGAGCAATTATCAAAATTGCCCAAATATACAACGCCATCTTGATAAAAACATAAAAATTACATAAAAATCAAGTTTTAAGGTTATATTTGCGTGTTTACAGCTTAATCATTATGATTATGTTAATTACTAATCAAAAGCAAATATTTTATGATTTATTATTGTTGAGACAGCTGAAGAATAGAAAACATTTGAATATTTACAAGTTGATTCAACTTGGACGAGAAAATAATGAACATTCTTCAATGATTTGCTAATGGTTATTTTCGACAAAGTGTGCTCACAGCTCACGAGTATTTATAATGCAATAAAAATTGACGGACATATTGGGAAATGAAGAAATCACAATTTGTCCATGCGCCAGCAGCTACACATCGATCAAGTTTAATGTCAAGGCTCGCCGTGGTTGGCATTCTTCACAATAAAAAGATCGTAACACAGATCGTAAATTTTCTTTATCTTTATGAAAATTACAAGTCGTCTTTTGACCTGCGCTATGGACAAGTCTTGATTTTATGATCGGATTTAATTTGTATCAATTTGTACTAATAAAAAAACTAATTATGATGAATTCCAGTTGAATGGTAATCTTGAAATACGTGATGGATGTGTTAATATGGTAAGAAAAGTGTGATTAAGCACAATTATGTAACTGAATATTAAATGTAAGTTGAGTATTGTGATGTGCGTCAGTGTTGATGTGTGATTTTGTTGACGAAGGCGCATTGTGGATTTTTAACTCATTTTTTTTTGTGCATGAACAAGCTCGTTGACGTATGTAATTTTATTATTCTGTACGGTTAAATGCAGCGTGAATTTAGCCATCAAGGAATAAAAATAACTGCGCTTGTTATGTGTTTTCGGAAAAAATCAGGCCAAAAGTTAATTTTATCCTGTACAGGAGATTATTTATTGTTATTTGCGGAAATTTGCGAATAATAAGTGGAAAAAATTGAAATTGGAAGTCTTATTATGGCAGGAAATACAAATATAAGTTGTACGTTTGGTTGCATACCTAAATAGCTCAAAACTGTAGACAACATGGCGTCAATTGAATTAAAATGTAAATTTTTTATTGTTTTCTTATTTACAGTTATAGAATTCTACGCATTTAATATTTAATCACAGTTTAATTTGGTTTTTCTACAGAATTCCTTTTAAAATAACTATGTTTATGGTGTGAATAAGTGTATAATTGGTTGTCTATCTCAATAGCTCAAAACTCTCGACACTTTAGTGAGAACGGAATTTAAATATAAACGTTTGATTGTTTTTCATTGTAAATTGAGAAATTCTACAACCTTTAATGTTTAATCACGGTTTAATTTCGTTTTTCTGAATTAACCTTGCATTCTTATTGTAATACTTAACTAGGTTTATGATGTGTAATTGTACCGATACTGAAGAGGCTGTAAAGTGTACGTTTCATGATTTTTCAGCCATAAAAGCCTATAAAATAACCTAATCAGAATTGTAAACCTATGTTATGTTTAATAACAAATATTCGTTGATATGATGGGTGATGGTTGGTAAGTTGTAGACGTAATATTCCAGTCTATCACTAGTACTTTTACTTTTCATTAGAAATCATCAGGTTTTTCTTATCGTGATAAGAAATCATTATTTTGGAAAACATGGATTAGTAATATTGATTCGAGAAATTTAACACTCAATCAATCAATCGGTAATATCTATTAATCATGTAATTGAAATTGCGTTTAATAATTATTTGAGTTACTTATTAAGAAATGTCTCAAAATGGATAGATTATGATTATTGTGTTTTCTTTTGTAAAACAAGACAACAGAAAAGAAAAACGCATTTATTTGAATTTAAAAAAAAAACTGGTTACAGGTTACGAAAAAAACAAGCAAAGTTCTCTATTTTTAAACTGTCATCACCAAATTGTCAAGAGATTTGAGCTATTCAGATATGCAACCAAACACACAACTTATATTTGTATTTCCTGCCACAGTAAAGTGTCCAAAATGAGTTAAGTTTTGTTTATTCAATATTTATTTTACCGCAAATTTAAAAATTAATGTATCTTAATGTATCTTATTCATTTTCAAGCAATTTAACACGGTTTCTTTTAAAACCACTCAAATTAATACCAAAATAATGATAAAATTTATGCATGGAACAAAAACATAACATTTGTGACATTTCACGAGAAACATCGCCCCGCCCTCAGTCGCAGTCGCAGTCGCGCCGAAGGAATTTCAATCGCATTCAATGTCAATGAATGATGTCAACAATTGGAAATTAAATCATCAAAATAAATAAACACAGACCCGACACACACACACGAGGTGAGTGTGCGCGCACATTTGCATGCACATCGCGCATCTCAATACTGCGCCTTGTGGCAATTGATTGCGAGTATTTCAGAGCAAATTAAACGAACACCCAACTTAACCATAAACTACGAGCACTCCAGTCTAAATAAGCCATAAGCCGAACTGATTAAACTGACCAAGCATAAATTTTCACATTTCATATTCCGCGGTGAATAATCTACGCATAGTAAATAATGCAACCACACATCAACAAAAAAAGATGAATTACACGCGTGGCCTTGGCAATTGTTTTTTAAACAGCTCGCCACACAATCATCGACAATGATGTATTTATTAATAACGCGCTACCAATCAGCCTGACAAGTGGCTGGATTTGTAATTGAAATTTAATTAAGAATATGTCCCAAAGGCAACGAATTTGCATTATCAATTAACACGCTGCTTATTATTATTAATTACACATTGTACCCACAAACTAACGATCATAATAAGATGGAAATAATATTCATCAGACGTGTGTTAATGGCATTTTAAACCATTTGTAATATTACATCTTTAATGAGCCAATAAAATAAAAATTTAAATTCTTGAGTGATAAACATTATTGTAAAGTGTTTTTAATCATTAATCGGTTAATAATAACTGTATTATACAATCAAATCGAGTAAAATTTGCACAAAATAAAGCAACTGAATAAATATTATGCTTTCCAACAATAGTTGTATTGACTTATTGCAAACGAAAAAATTGCTCAGCGATAAATAGTTAAGTATAAGTAAAATAGGTCAGATCTGAAAATGTGGTTGATGTTTAGATACTGTCAATTTAATTTTACACTGCCATGAGTATTGGGTTACACTGATTTGTTTTTTGTGATATTTAGCGCATGCAAATATCATGATGTCATTTATCTAGGAATTTGCAATCGTCTTAAATCGCAAAATATAATTTTACTAAATTTTATTAAACATCAAAAGTGTTCCATATTTTAAACGTGACTTTAAGATGTAACTATATTATTTGTTTTGTTTATTATCGTGTTATCTGTTGTATATTTATTTATAAATTACTCTAGATTCTTTTGTTGTCTCTTCTAATTATCATAATATTTAGTATTTAAATTCTTGTACTCACCGAAACGTTTATTCAAATCGATGCAATAAAATGTCGTCTTTTGTTCGTTCGTAATAAATTTTTTTCTTGATAAATTTTTGTTTTTTTTGATTCACACTCCAAGAGAGACACCAAAAATAAAATGTTGTTTAGTTTCGTGCGTGATTTCTTGTTGGTTGTTCACAGAAACTTGTCACCGAACGGCAACATTCGACAACCGCGCGATCAGATCCTTCCATTCGAACTAAGGTGCTAAGCTGCATATCGCGCCTTTATATTGCTTACAACATACACAATTAAAAGATAAAAATACTTATAATAAGCGCGTTGCGCTCGCGCGTCGCGATCCGATTGTGTGGCGCACCAAATCGCCAAAGTTTGCAAACACGGTGAAATACCTAAAGGTGAGAAGTGTAAATGTAAAAGCAACTGAAAAAATATGATTGTTTATTTGTTTATTGAGATTTCGTCCGATTTTATTGAGTAGTTAATTGTAAGTTAATTGGATATGTAAAGTCTGATGAATGTGGTTTTTATGTTGTACTCAGCGTGGGTTTTGTAGGTAGCTAAGCGTATTACACTCGTTGTCATCATGTTAGAATTTTTATTATCATTAATTAAATAAAACTAATCTAATGTGTTCTAGACAGCGTTGTATGGTTACATGTGAATAATTAAATTCGTGGAAGTAGATATATTCTAGATTTAGTAGAAGTTAAAATGGCGCGATGTATAAAGTATAGTATTGAGATTATGTGAGGTTATAATATATTATTAACTTGCTCTCAGAAAACCTTTATACTATCTACTTAACTATCATCTTAGGTTGATTATTAATTTAATTACTAATTACTAAAGTGACTAAAGTACTTTATTCATGGCTTTGACCGTCTGTGATTAAAGAGCCACTTTTCGTGTCTCAAAACCGTGTAAAAAGTGGGTTTTAAAGATATAAGTAAAAATGTATAATATACAATTTGTACATAATATCAAATATTACAAATTATGTTTCATAGGTATTTAATGATTTATTTAATGATAAATCACAAAATCCTGAAGGACAATTGATAAAAGCAATTGAAAAACCAGTGATTTGTCATACGAATACTTCCTAGATTTACGCAGATATAATCAAAAACAAATTGTTTCATAAAAAAGCCTTTAAAAAGGTGTAATGGTGTTTGGTCTCGCTAAAACTGTTAATACACGTTAAAATTTTATACACATTAGTTGTCGATTAGCTCCGAATGACTGTTTAAAATCATCTAAACGTTAATTAATCCACAATCGTCGTATTGCTTCTTCACAAATCCAACATGTGCAATACATTCGCTGTTTTTCGACACTCGTGAGTGAACTCACACCATCCATAAATCAAACTCCGATGTAAAACGCACTTCAAAAACAGTGCATTCAATATGAATCATAAATAATACTTTACGTAATATTTTCATTAAAACTCCTAAAAGAAAAAAACAAACACAGCTTACCTTTTTGTATATTCAGCTGACTGTTGCATATTGTGCTGCTGCTCTTGAATTTCAAACTTCTGCGTAATGTTTTTCGTCTCTCTCCAATAATTTATTACAATCGAATTACGCGATAACATTCAACAGACAGATTGTTGAAAATAGGTCAATGATAATGGTAATAATCTTACGTTCTTCGCATTAATATCCAAATAGGTCACTTTTCCAGCTTACTCACCAGTAAATCAGAAGACTCTTCTGTATTCCGTATTTAGACTTATCTGCTGACAAATAATTAACTAGGTTGCCATTGTGACTTTAAACATATTCTTATCTCTCGCTTGTTCTTCGCGTTGTGCATTAATTTCAACTGCTACACATCCTTGCGTTCATGCATATCGTAATCATATTTAATAATAGTAATGACATCGTGTCACATTCTCGATGGAGCACATTTTTTGTGATTTTGTTGTGATATATTATGATATATGTATTCGGGCGCGCGATTATGCTTCACATTATTCATCGCAATTTAAATATTTATGACGAGTAAATGTAATCATTTAAATTCACATAAATCTGAGTGTTTGGATGCTTTGCAATGTGAAATACGAAATTGCAAGCTTTGAGGAATGATTTCAAGCATGGCTAAACGCGTGTAAACAAAAATACGCCCACGCAATGCGCGCTAATGTGTTCATTTCGCGCGTGGTGCATAAATTACGCAGATCGCTGGTTATGTTTAATTGTTCAGCTTGTTTGATACATTCATATGCAGTATTCAAATAATTGTGAAGAGGTTAAATTGGAAAACAAAATTTAAAGTGTAAATATGTTGATAAATAAAAATTATTTCAGGTTTTTGATACTGGCAGGTGACACCTGGCGTTAAAATTAGTAACTTAGGTTTAAAGCTGTCCCTCCACACTATTTGAAAATATTCTAATTTAATTACATAAAGTTCTTTTGTTGTCATACATTACTACTTGAATCACTTAATTATTAAACGTATATAGTACATTTACTAGCAGAATTTAAATAACAGAAGAGAGATTAATTTAAAAAATAAAAAAGGTGTGAACTGGATTAATTTTTAACTTTTGATATTGCTAGCGGTATCTGGCGGCAAAATTAGTAACTATCAAAGTAGTCGCTTAAATAATTTAAATTTATTTACGTATTCTTCGGTATTAGCAATTTATTAAAAATTGCATAATTGTTATGAAGTAACTAAAATCTATATTATCTTTGGTATTTGTTATATTTTATGATTCTAAAACATAAAACTTGCACTCAGCTGTGCATTTGACAAGTCACAACAAAACAAACTCATGCAAAATTCCAGTACATCTATCTGCTACTACAATCAACATTTCATTAGTTAAAAAGTATGTAATTGCTACTTTCGAGAAACATCTACTGTAAACACGTATTTGTCGCCGTCATGCTCTATCGATAAGCGTTCGTGTTATAAGCGTTCGCAGGAATTATGCGCGTTCATGACGTTCAAGGCTGGCGAAACATCATCACACAACGCTCACGTTACGGTTACCTCCGCGTATTCACCGCCGGCGTGACGCTGCTCACATTTCAAAATCAAACGCTGAAATAGTTTACCGATCCGCTCGGTAATACTCGCGCTCTCTGTACATACAAACAGACACATCGCACAGCGATTATTCGGTGTCAAGTGGCCAGGCGTCCTTGCCGTACATTTGTTGGTATCGTGCGGAATTCACATCAGTCGAATGGAAATGACGAACGAAGCAGCCAACGTGATGGCACCGAAGATCATCCGCGACGATGTGAAGACGGTTATTGTCAACACCGGAAATATTTTATCATCGAATGATATCACGAAGAATCCAGGACAAAATCCTGCTGAGGAAGTAAGTTTTTTAAGCTTTTTTTGTATAACTCATCAATTAATCAATCATTTTTACTTTTCTGTTCAGTTAGCAGAAGCTGTTGGCCTTACAGTGTCTACAATTGATTTGGGATCTATTAATATTGATAATGGTGTTGCCCATTATGAACAGAAAGGACTTTTGGGGGATGTAGCTAATGAAGAAATTGAGAACTTAAAAATTGGTATTAAGGTGTTTCTAGAAGATGACAACTCCAAGTTTTTACAGGAAGCCATTGATAAAGGTAAAATATTGCATTAAAAAATTTAATTTCACTAATGTTATAGTTTCAAGATAAGAAAATGATGCAAATTATACCTAAATTGTGTTTCATGATGTGATGTAATATTAGTTAGAATGACAAAGCAAATTTTTAAACTTAATTGTTATTTTGCAGCATTTGCCGCATTGAATGTCTCTGCCGTTCACAACGTTATAATTTCCTTGAATAACAAAGGCACCGGCGATGAACAAGTGCGAAAAATTAAAAACATCTGGAGCAGTGTTGAGAGCTACGTCAAAACCAGTAAAATTCAACAAGTTGGTTTGTCCGACGTGGAAGAGAGCGCATTCCGACGGATTTACAGCGATGCAAATATAAAACCAAGCATAATTCAAATTAATTTGGCTACGTGTTGCGTCGTCCCGCCCAGTCTCCAGCAATTCTGCAAGGATAATGAAGTTTTACTGCTTACACACAGCGATCCTGCAGGTAATTTTATTTTGTAGTGGATTATTGTGTTTGTTTATTGATTTGCTTTGTGTTTAGAAATTTTACCAGCGACGGCGATTGCGGACATCTTCGGTGCGCCATTCAATCTCAACTGGGCGGTGCGATTCCTGGTTCATATTAAATGCCGCGGTGTACTTACAACTAAGGGCTACATATTAAGTTTGAGCAAATGAGTAATTCACCACTTTTAAAGTATTACATACATATAAACACACTGTGAATTTAAAATTGATAAATGTTGATGTAGTTTTGCAGTGTTTTGGTGTGTAAAACACATTCTTAGTTTTAGAAAGTGTTTTTGGTTGTTTCTAACTTGATTATTAAAGCATTATTTTTATTATCAACCTACTCTTTTGGTGCAGAAATTGTTTCTAAAAGTTTATAACTTCTAACAGTGAATTACCTGTCACATGTTTTGATATGTATTTTGGGTTGCATACAACAAATTATATTTATTTATACCTTTAGTGATAATATCAATACCTATATTTTTATGTGATAAAAGATGTGTTTACACTAATAATACAACAGTCTCAACAAAATTATCTTGTTTGATCTATTGGATGATGTTAAACAATCAAATAAATATTAAAACTCTTCGTCTACCTTCGGTAAAATCATCCGTTCTTACCCGAATCTAACACGTAAGAGAAGGAAGATGAAAGTAAATTTGATTCCACCACGTAAACAATGCAATTAAAAGACATACCAATTAAGTTCCTCAAAATAAATCATCACAATATCAACCTAAGTAAACAAACGCGCAACGAGAATGGAAATTGGAGAATCTCCCACACACCCAGTGTGGAAAAACGATTGTAAGTACATACGATGTGAACGCACACTAACCACGATTCAACAGCGACGCTTTTTTGTCTTTTATTAATAAATAAGTCGTGACACACACTCAATTGAATGTAATTTAGGACCGGCTCAGTTAAGCCTAATGAACTCGACCAAACACAAGCATTCAGGCATACTCACTTGTGCAGTACACATGCACAATGCACAATCATTTGTCAACTCCACTTGATAACTTGCAATTGTATCCATTATGGTTTGATATTATCAAATGTACAAAATACATCAACACTTTAAAATGTAGGTAAACATTAATTTATTCTGTTATTTACAGTATATAGATGGCAATTAAATGCACCTGTTCCTGTTCCAATTGTGTGTGATAAAAGCCTGCAAAATGTTCCAAGTTATTTGGGTCAGGATTATCATGGACCCATTTCAAGCACAGAAACATGTAGATTACTGGAAGACAAACCAAATGGGGCCTATCTTGCCAGGGATAGTAAAACAGGCAATGGGGACTTCTACACTTTAAGTTTAAAGTAAGTTTTGCATGTTTTTCATTGATATTTTTGCTAAAATCGTTAAATTTAGGTTTAACAATAAAATTCATCATTATAAGTTGTACTATGACAATGGGGGCTTGTATGTCAGCACCAAGAGATATGACTGTGTCAGATCTTTGGTGGCTGATGGTTTGGTCACAATGTATTTGCAATTGAAAGCCCCACAAACATTACAAACTCTTCAGACAATTAGTTATCAAGAAAGTCCCTACATGACTCTAAACAAGCGAAAACTAAGAGTTTTGAGTAAAGAATATGCCAAGTAAGTTCATATCTGTCATAAAACTCACTTAAATTCCAATTATTTTATTAAATTTTAGAAATAATAATGTATTTGCACTGCCACAGCCTGAAAACACTCCTTGCACAAATGAGAAGTGTGAAAAACCACACCAATTTAAAGTCACAACCTTCAAAGGTTTAAACTGGTGTGAATTGTGTGGGAATTTCTTGTGGGGTTTTACTGCCCAGGGTGTAAGGTGTGATGATTGTGGTACAGTTGCACATGAAAAATGCTCGAAAAAATTCTCCAATGATTGTGTACCAGATCTCAAGTATATTCGTGGTGTTTTTGGTATTGAATTAACCACTTTGCTCACCGCACACAACGCGAAATTGCCTTTTGTTGTAACAAAATGCGTGGAGGAAGTTGAAGCGCGTGGATTGACTGTCGAAGGAATTTACCGTCTCAGTGGATTTGCTGAGGAAATTGAATGTATTAAAATGACTTTTGACAAAGGTAAAACATTAATTATTTAAGTAATTACAACCTAAATTGATTTATTTTAATTTTTGCATTTAAAGATGGCGACAAAGCTGATTTAAGTCAAGAAAAGTATCCGAATATCAACGCAATAAGTGGCGCACTGAAATTATATCTGCGTTTGCTGCCAATTCCATTAATCACCTTCATTGTTCATCCATTATTAACTTCTGCAATGCGTGAGTTATACACTCTATTCTTACATACTCTAAATTCTATTTATTGTGTTTCCAAATAAATTTTTAGAGAATTCAAAGGTTAACGAAACGATAATCGTGAAAAACATTCGCGATGCTTTGGAATCACTTCAAAAGGCGCATTATGACACTTTACACTACGTTATTAATCACTTAAAGAGGTAATCTTTATTAAATTTACTAAATACTTGTAAATTGAGCGTAATTGGTGTAATTTCAGAGTGAGTCAACATTCTGCGATTAATAAAATGACCCCGCATAATATCGCCACGGTGTTTGCGCCGACTTTAATTGGACCGCCAATTGCTCAAAGCGCTATAATACCGGACATGACAACTGATATCCTGGTGGTTGAGAATTTAATTGTACATTGTGATAAGGTGTTTTGTAAGCATTTAGAAACTAGTACTCATTCCATTATGGTGTAAGGTGTAAGCTCCTCTACGATATTCCGCACTTGTGATATTTTATACTGTGTTTATTTATACTACTACTTCTATTTCTACTTAGACAGGTTTTTGAGATAGTGAAACTACTGAAGTATATATATTTTAACTTAACTGTATTGCTTATAATAAAGTTATAAGATTTATATGAAGAAAATGTATTTGTGATATGCTCTAGTAACATTTATGTCATGTCCATCATTGGTATCAATCAATCAAAATCAGTATGATAGGTTTAATTTTCTTTTGTGTTGTCTTCAGAATCATCACATGAAAATTTAATTATGTTCATCAAACAAATACAACAGCAGCATTACATTTTCTTCATTCTTCATTCGACTTTGAAAGGTTGCAACAATGACTTTATTTAAATTGATTGTATTGTTTTTAATTACAACTTCAAATGCACATAAATGGAAATATCTGGAAAATGTAATAAATTACTTCTAAATTTAATGAAATAAATTGAAAAATGAGTTGTTTTAGATGATGGAACAGTTCTGCAAGAAACTTATGGTGGAAACATTCATCATGCACTTTATCACATTGTTAAAGGTTTCCCAGCCAAGTCTCTAGCAATAATCTATGATAAAAACACAGGTAAACGCAATATAAACATTTTTACATCAGACAATATTAAATAATATTGAAATTTATCTTTCAGATGGTGTTTTTATAACGAATCTTATCGATTACTTGTTAAAAAATGATCTTTCAATCTATTCCTTCAACATTACAACCCCGAACAGCAAGACACATACTTTGCTTTCATTAAAACAACTGTAAACAATTATTATGAGTTGTACACTGTGCATTTCTGTACAGACAAGCTATCAGAACATATTCTCATTGAAGTAAGTACAAATTTATTGATTGTTCTTAAAATTTTATTGCAAATATTAAAAATTCAAGTTGTATGAGAGTAAACTAATCAGACGCAACTTAATCTTCATGTTTTACTGGGGCGATCGCAAAATGTATCGTTTTTTCATCCGTAATATGCATGAAACTATGCGTATTATTGTCATTACAAACCCACGACGAGATGCTTATAGATTATATTATAATCAAGCGACTTCTTATAAACGACACAATCTGAAAATGATCAATTGGTGGATACAAGGACGTGGGCTGTTTCATCATCCAACACTACCGAATGCCAGGGAGACTTTTAAGGATTTTCATGGACGTGTTATTCAAGTTCCAGTAATTCATGTATTTACATTTAATTTACTAATTTATTGCAATTTTTGATTGTATTTTATGATTTTAGAAGCCACCATGGCATTTTGTAAAGTATACAAACGATTCAGCTGTGGTTCTTGGTGGAAGAGATGACAAACTCTTAAAAGTATTGGCAAGACGTTTAAATTTTCAGTTTGAATACTTTGACCCGCCTGAACGTATCCAAGGAACTTCTTTCAACATAAACGGAACATTCGACGGTGTCTTGGGTTTAATCTGGGAGAAAGAAGTAGAATTTTTCATTGGTGATATTGCTTTAACTGAGGATAGATTCAAAGCCGTAGAGTTTTCGTTTCTGACTTTAGCTGATAGTGGCGCGTTTATAACGCATGCCCCGAGTAAACTAAACGAAGCTTTGGCTTTGATTCGACCATTTAATCCTCAGGTAATCAAAATATTTTACAAAAACGATCAATTTTTATGTTTTACATATTTTTATTTTATGTTACAGGTTTGGCCAGCGATAATCATTACTGTTTTGTTGTCGGGGCCAGTTTTGTATTTGATTATCGTCCTGCCAAACACTTGGCATCCGAAATTTATTGTACAGGATCATGGCCGCTTGTTTTTCGACTGTTGTTGGTATACAGTTGGCATATTTTTCAAACAAAGTACGTGTTGCTAATATTTACGACCGATACTTGATTTTAAGTGTGAATGTGATGATTTTTAGCTGGACGGTCTCCAAGCGAGAGTCACAAAAGTAGATTTATTATCATTTTATTGGCGGTTTCGGCGACATATGTGATTGGTGATATGTACGCTGCCAATTTAACGTCTTTATTGGCTAGACCTGGACGAGGTAATAATTTATGACTACATACAGAATAAATTTATCATGTATATAAATAATTTTTAGAAAAACCTATTGAAAATTTATGGCAGCTTGAAAATGCTATGGCAACTAAAGGATACAAATTGTTGGTGGAAAAATTCAGCTCGAGTTACAGCTTGCTTGAAAATGGTACTGGAATCTACGGTAGGCTTTGGGAGATGATGAATTGGAACATCAAATCACCAAACTCTTATCTTGTTGATTCGGTTGAAACTGGTGTGAAGAATGTGCGGGATAATCTTAATATAGCTGTGATGGCAGGACGGGAAACCCTATTCTTTGATACTCAACGTTTTGGTTCTACGAACTTTCACTTGAGTGAAAAATTAAACACAGCTTATTCCGCAATTGCACTTCAACTTGGTTGTCCTTACAAATGGAACTTTAACAATATTCTTATGGGTATATTTGAGTCTGGTATTCTTACCAAAATGACAGAAGATGAATACGAAAATTTGGGTAAACAACAAGTTGCATCTGCTGAATCTGCTCCACCTCCGCCTCCAGGCCCGCCGGGTTCTTCACCATCAGAAGAAGAAGATGATGATCAACAACTGAACAAAAAGCAGGATGATGGATCGCAGAGGTTGCAGCCGTTGAATATTAGAATGCTTCAGGGTGCTTTTTATCTTTTGGGCATAGGACATTTGATTTCAGGAATGGTGGTAGGTCTGGAAATACTTTGTTTTAGACATAATAGCAGTATTAAGAGGAGGCACCGAAAGTTTGGTGTTATGCATAAAACTATGAAGCGTATCAAGTTGTTTTGTATGAGAATTGTGAATTATATTAGGATGAAATTTAGGGAAGCTATGAACGACGCCATTATTGCCACTTTGGATTATATTGAATAATTGTTTAAAATTGTTAAATTGTTGTTGTTTAAGCTTTGGTGTGTTTTAATTGTTGGTTTATATTGAAGAATATAAAACTGCATTTTGTTTTAAGGGTGCAAATTTTGTTAAAAATGATAAAACTTTTGGAAGTCGCTTAATGAAGTATTTACCATTTTGTAGCCAATGAGTTGCTATTTTACATGATATTTATTTCAACTCTCCAAAGGGCTTTAAAATGTCTTAAAAATAATATTTAACATTAGCAAATTTTGAAATGTTTCAAAAACACGCCTTCTAAAACACCCTGTATCTTGTAATTCGGGGGCTGTACGTTGATGATGTTTTAATAAATGTATAGTAAAAGAAATGCTCTTTTATTTGATGTATATATCAACCCTCTAAAATGCATGGAACATCCCTAAAAATCCATCCAAATTATCCTCCTTCTAGGGAATTTTACGAAAACGAAAATCCCCTGAAATATTTAAAACCCGCCGAAATTGATAAAATACTGCGAACATGTGGTGAAACATCTTTTACCTCCTCACACATTCTGTGATCCTAATACCAAAACTCCTCGAAACTTGTACCGAAACGCATTTTCACTCATTTTTTTGGCTCAAAAATTATTGAATAAGTGCGACCCTGCCTTTCTGCTGAAAATAAATTTAAAAATAATTAGTTCAACCCTGTTATTCAGCAAAATTTTATACGAATTTGTATCAGGATCACAGAATGTGCGAGGAGGATAAAATATTTCAACAGAATTTCGCGCGAATTTGAAAAACTTCGCGCCGATTTTTAAATAATTTAGAATTTCGATAGCCACCCTGAAAAAATAAACAAAAATAGCCTAAGTTTGACACCGTTTTTAAGGACGTTGGAAGTTGTTTAGAGGGTCGATAAATATATCAAACAAAAGGGAATCTCTTCTTTTATAACATATTTAAATTTTATTAAGATTAAACACTTCAGTAACAAGATACAGGGTGTTTTTGACCACATGTTTTGAGAAATATTTTCAGAAAATGCAAAAGTTTGTTGGCATTTTTAGGGCATTTTCAGGTATATTAAAGTGTTGAAATATATATCAAACAAAAGGGTAACTCTTCTACTATAACATAACCAAATTTCATCAAGATCAGACACTTAAATCACAAGATACAAGGTGTTTTTACCATCCTTTCCTAAAAACCTGAAAACAAGTAATGGGGGAAAAGAGTCCATCGTAATAATAAACAAGTAAATATATAATTGTTATAATAGATTACTTATTTACAATCGTTCTTAGGCTAATAACGTTATTTACATTTAAACCACACTCGTTATCAAATACAATAATTATATGATCATGTTACTTCAAAAGGCGAAACAATTCTATTCATTTCAATCAAGGTTTGGTTGTCATTATAATTATCAAGAGACTTGGTGGTTTCTCCATTGCCGTTCGCATGCAGGTTCCAATTAATGATTAACATCTACGAGTCCAAAGCGGAAGTTATAACAAATTGTATAAAATGAAAAACAAAACGAGACACTTTTCGTTAATGCATCATATTCTAAATTTATCTTATTATTCTCATAATCTCTCCCCCCTTGCTCTGGTAATGATCAAAGTCGATCGGATATCGCAAATCCAAGATGGCAGGTGACGCATTGCACATTGTCCGGTGTTTAGAATCGTTAAGGGCTTGCCGTCAGACTCTCATCACTGTCGAGGTACGTCACGTAACTGTCGGTGCTGTCCGGATGTGTCATGGCGTCGGAAGGGGGCGCTGGCATCATGCCCGGAAGTGGACCTGGGACTGGACCCATATTTGGTGGTGGTAGATCATAACCATGCATCTGCACACAAAAACAAAAAATTAAATTTTGTTTTGAAAAAAATTGAAAAAATGATTTTACCTGATTTACTAGTTGCTGGAACGCAGGAGCATGAGGTTGTTCAAGATCCGAATGAAGGGCAAAGTCCGAAAGTGCTTTCCAAGGTGGTTGGTACGCTTGGACTTCCAGGGGATGCACTCCGATGGGCGAATCATGACGAACAGGAGACGATGCCACCATGGGGATACCTTGCATGGCTCCATAGCCCAATTTACGGCCATCCTGTGCAAAAAACTATGTTCGGTTAGATTTGGCATTAAAAAATTTTTTTGAAAAATCAAAGAATCATGTAAAATTAATCCGAAATCTTCAGTTGTTGGATGAAAAAAAAATACCGTGAAGGCAAACTGTGAAACGTTGCTACGTGTGTACAGTCGGCGCGCGGCTTTATTAAAAATCGATGATGAAAGTGGTGATTTAATCGCGTGTGTGCCAGACGATTGGCGGAGGCAGACACGATGAGTGGGGATAGTGTGGGAGTAAACACGCCCCTCGGCGCACCGACGGAGGGAGGCCCCCCAGACCAACGTCGACTCCACGCGCAATTTATATTGTTTCAGTCGCGCGTAAACCCGCCGCCCCACCACAAATAACCGAATAAAACATTCATAAATAACGACAGCTACCAAAACCCAACCAGATTTCTGTCCTCGTTTTGACTTGCAAAAATCCCAAAAATATTTTCCTGTCTCTCTGAGAGACGTTTTTATAAAATTGATTTTTTTGTATGTTTAGCATGTATAAAATGGGTTGGGCTGAGGGAATGAGGTTGCGGTCTGCGCCTACCTTTTCTTGTTGCATCTGCTGCTTCATCAGGATGGTCTTCTTTTTGTCCTTGCAGCGCTTGTTCTGGAACCAGACGCGTATCACGCGCGGCGAGAGGCTGGTCATCTCCACCAACTGCTCCTTCATCAGCGCGTCGGGACGCGGGTTCGCCGCGTAGCAGGTGCGCAGCGTGTGCAATTGCTTCTCGTTCAACACGGTGCGCACTCGCGTTGGTTTCCCGTCACCACCTGAGGCACTGTTCGATTTACGAGGTCCACCGCCTTTGTGGGAACCACTTTCCGAGCCAGAATCTGAGAAAAACAACAATTTAAAGATAAAAATTTGTTAATACAAAATTTAAGAGGTCCCAAACCTCATCATCAAAGAAAACCAACTTTCTAGTGGTTCTGGTCGGTGTAGACATCAAAAAAATACGAAAAAAGGTTCTAAATTACTGAATTCAATCAATGATCCCAAAATTTAATATTCACAAAGAGAGAAAAGGGCCGCCGGACACAAAGCAAAGCGAGATGACGTTTGGCTTTCCCGTTGGTCAGCGTTTCACGCCCGCACTAAGCATTTAGGCCGGCCGGACCGTCCCCAAGGGTCCGCCGCACACGCGCGGCTTAGTATCCCGGATTAACCGGCGTCTAATGGCTGGACAACAAAGTTTACGCCGCTATACAACCCTTTAAATATTTGCCATCGGATGTAATATAATCAACTCCGCATTTGGAAATTTGATCCCTGCTGCAGTTTCGCACTTGCTAATCACTAATCACCAAATCACCAAAATCACCAAATCAAAGGGGGAATCCAGTAGTAGATAATTACCTGACATGCATCCAAGTTCGGTGCTATTGCTATTGTGATTATTGTTGCTAAGGCTGGTGTTATTGTTACTCTCCCCGCCCGGATAAGGTGTCGTCGGGGCCGAGCTTTTCTCCATCACATCATGGTCCTCCTTGCAGTAGAGCGCTCCACCATCACGCAGGGCAAACTCATCGCCAGGTACCAATTTGCGAGCACAGGCACAGCAGCGAAAACAATCAATGTGATAGATTTTACTCTTCGCCCGCATCACAAAATCATTCTTACTGAAAGACTGGCCACATTTATCGCATTTGGTTCCGAACAACCTGGAATCAGACAAACAGAAGGAGTTAATATACTCCACCAGACCAGGTGGTAGCTTTCAACCAGGGAGTAGAAAATAAATATTCAAACGTCTCTGGTTACGCGGATGTTGGGATTGTGTAAATGTAAACAGAGCCACACACAGCACAAAATAGACGGAATAAAATTCATGGAGTAGTTGAGTTGAGTTGGGTGCAAGAGGCAAACGAACATAATCAGCGGACAGCCGTGTGCGATGTCAACGTCAGGCGGAGGCTCTTTTTTCGTCACGCTACATAATGATTTAATTCACATGTCCGATCTCATGTCATGTTTGGAATTATTCGGTGGGTTCGATTGGTCACGCCGAGGTTTGAATGGAAATAGTTTTGGTGGATGTTGTTCGGCGCACAGAAGGCAAGTAGGTATTATGATTATTTGGTGGAGATGAAATCACCTGACATAATCCCGCTTGCAGTAGGTCTTGCCGTCGCGCACGAAACACGTGCACGACTCGTCCAAGAACTGCCGGCATTCCTGACATTTCAGGCACGCCGCATGCCACTCCAGGTCGGGGGCGACGCGCAGGATGAATTGGTCGTGAATTATTCCGCCGCAGCCGATGCAGTGGCTCAGTCTTTTTGGTTTTTCTGCAAAAAGAAAAGGCAAAAAATCAGTATGGGTAAAAATTATCATAAAAATGTATGTTTGTTCTCAAATAACTCCTAAAAAACTGGAGCGATTTGGATAAAATTTTCAGGAAATGTTCAAAATAGTCTAGAAAGTGTTCTTGTGAAATTTAGTTGAAATCGGATTAAGAGAAATGCTAATTAAGACATAATTTTGTCAAAACATACGAAAAACTCGACCAAGTTTTATGATTTTTATTTTTTTTAAATGTTTTTCCCTCTCAAAAAGCAGAAAATTAAACAGAAAAAAAAATTAAAAAGGAAAAACCGGTTTTCCTATAAGGTTATGTTGATTATAACCTAATTTAAAGCGCCATCTACAAATAAAAAGAAATAAAGTTTGTATTTATACCTAATTTGTTATAAAACATATTAATTAACATAATTTATAGTAAAATTACCCAATAAGTTGTTATAAAACAAATTTACCTTGCAATAACAGGAAAAAACAACATTATTATAATTATATTACTCGAAATGTAACAAATGACCAAAAACCATCGAAAGCTATTTATCTAATTTTAATTTCATGCCCCAGAGGCATATTCCTGTGCCTGCGTGGCTGAAAAAACAATATGCGTTAATAAAATCAACACATTATTGAAATTACTACACAAAATATAAATGATGCGACAATAACTCGCCGTCGCCGTATTTTACTCCCTTATTATCATCATTCATTAGCAATACCACAATAAAATTTACTCTTTCATCAAAATATTCATTAATAAATAATATTTTACTAAATTATTTTGATAGATAATTACAATTTGTAATTTGCACCCTCCTGTATACCATGATATCGGTGAACATGCATTTTATTTTTCGCCGTGCGTTTTCATCGATTTATATTGCGGCTATAGAAAATATGATTTTGTTATATTTATTATTTGAATAAGCATCGCTCGTTCGATGTCAGTGCGGATATTATATGGTCGTCAGTGCGGAGATATAATGGAAAACAATTCGTTTTAAAAGCTTCACAACACGATCATTATAAATAAATTCGTTTACGGTCCACGGCGCCAGCGCTAAATTTAAATAAATTTATTATTTTCCGAAATACAATGTTCAATATCTGCCAAGCAATAATTGAAAATAAATCATGAAAGTGTATGGGTGGGATGAATGTGTTGCTACAGCGATGGATTTTGGGAAAACATTGGAAACACATTGGCAAATGCAATTATTTTAGTGAATTGAATAAAAATTAGTTTTGATACAATTTATAACGTCAACTAAAATGTTATTGTTTCGATGGGGAAACAATTTTCGAGTTGGGTATATTCATTTGGGGAGATTTATTTATATTTACAAAACTGTTAAAGTTTAATTATGATGGATTATTGAGGAAAAATTTAGTTAAAAACACAAAAATTGGAAAAATTTTTAACTAAATTCGTAAAAGAAATAAATTCAAATATTTCTAGATGTAAAATTTAGGAATAAATAAGTAGAACACTTTTTTGATATCTTTTCTTAAGTTTTAAAAGAGTTTTGGAAGAAAAATTTCAAAGTTTAGCACAGTTTTGGAAATAAATTTAGCAAAAAACGATTTGGGCAAAAAATTTGACAAAAAAGCTTTAAACCTACATAAAATGTTATTTTTTCTATGGAAAACAATTTTTAAGCAGATTTATTTATAAACAAAATTGTGAAACTTTAGTTACCACGGATTATCAAAAGAAAAATGAGAAAAAAAATGTAAAAAAGCAAAATAAAATCGACAAATTCGAGAAAAAACCTATTTTATAAATATCCAGATGTCAAATTTCCGAATATTTTCCTACTTAAGTAAGAAAAGAACTTTTTGAAACAGATTTTGACATTTTTGCAAAGTTTAGCAAATTTTTTTTTACAAAAAAACGCATTTTGTAAAAAATAGTCTTAATTATGAAGTAATTTTCATACGGGCTTAATAGTGTTAAGCTAAAAGCACATATTATTATTATTTATTGCGTGGTGCCAACGTGCGTCGCATGTAAAGATAATTAATCAGCGTCCACTTATCTTCCGCAATTGCTTGCGTTATGTACCTACATTGCATGCTAAATTATCTTATAAATGAGTACAAATTACGTACAACAAAGATTATTCACACGTGTCAAACAAAACACCTCATATTAAAAATCATACCACAACTTATTACAATTTATTAGATCAACTAGTTTTATTAATGTAATTTTTATTTTTATTTGGTTGGGTTTCATTGGTCTTCGTTTTCTTCTTCTGTGCAAAATGCAAAACTCGCCGTCGTTAAAACTTAATGAGTAAAAGCTAACTTGTAGGCACCGGCCGTAACTCGGCATGTTGGTGCGAATGTGTGCGCGCAGGATTTATAAACGCGCTGCCGCTATCTGTACAGGATCAGGACAACATGGCCGCTTGCCGACTCGCAGGCGCGCCGCCCGCCGCACATCGCACATTGCTCCAAAGTAGCAGCCGCACGGCGAGCCTTCAAAGCGGCGCACAGCGTCGGCTCAAAACGCATTCTGCGCCGAATTTATGCGCGCAATCAAGCGGAATTACGCCGATAACAAAAGCGAGACGGCCACGGGTTTGATTAGATATAGTACGTGCCTGGAGCCATTCGAGCTGCAAGCTGCCGGAGGACTACTTGTAGCCTTTTGGATTTCGCCGCCTACATGCGCCTTGAATTTTAAGATAAGAATAAAATTCAAGTGGGAAATAAATTTGAAAAAAATTGTTTTCTAAGTTACGCATGGTTTCAATTTGGAATTTTGTATTTTTAGGGAAAATTTATGAAATAAAAAAATAAAAAAGCAAAATTTTAATTTTATTTGCAAAAAAATTACGAATTTTGCAAACTTTCAGATGTAAACTTCTCGAATATTTAAGAAAAAGACTTTTTGAATCCCATTTTCAAGTTGTACAACAGTTTTAGAGCAAATTTTAGCAAAAAATTTAAAATTTTGCAAAAAAAAATTTAAAACGCCTAGAAAAACGTAATTTTTTCAATGAAAAACAATTCTAAACATCCTAATATTCATTTGGGCAAATGTATTTATTAATAAAATTGTAAAACTTTAATTATATTTATTTATCAAAAGAAAAAAGTAGAAAAAAATATCAAAAAGCAAAAAAATTCGCTTTTTGCAAAAAAAAAAAACATTTTCAGCTTTGAATTCCAACTTTAAAATTTCTTAATTTACAACAAAATTTATTACTACATGTTTGCTGTTTACGATTAACTTCTAGCTTTAATCTTCTTCACGCGAATATGAACATGATGAACGTGAGCTTTTTACTCGCCGGCTTTGACTTTCAACTCTCGCGCCGCCCGGAGATTTCAATCGTTTTTTGACTGACTGGACGAATTCAGAAGCCAATATCACTAAAACAGTCCGAAGTTCGAGGGATTCACGCTCGCAAGTTTATAGTTTACCAATTTGCTCGCGCACGCAAAGTTTGTTTATATCCGATAATATGAGCGCGCGTCGGAGCTTTTAACGAAATGCATTTACACCGCTGACAGCTACCGAAACAAACAAAGTTGAAAATGTACTCCAACCGCGGGATCGTTTTCTATTCCTATGTGCGACATACCGACACGATGCACACCAGACTAGGTGTTGCCATAATCATAAAATTTCATTAAAATTAATAATAAAATAATAAATATTTACAAAACTATTTGAGAAATTAAGATTTTTTAGGTTTTTAGTAAAAATTTATAGGTTTTATTGTAGTATTGAGTAATTTATGTGATTATTTATTGAATTTATCAGTAAGACTTGGTATATTTGGTTTTAATTCAATATAGACTTTCATCTATTTGCTCTCGGTTCTCGTCTGGGTTCTTTGGAGGCTGTTGCTGACTTTTTTTGTGCTGGATGCTCTCGATGTTTAGGTTCAGTCAATTTACTTAGTCTTTACTGTCATTACTCATTGTGGAAGCTTCGGTACATTAATTCAATACTTCTAACCTCGCTTTTCAACTATTTTTTGTTCGTGAAACATTTCACACTCAATAATTTGTTAATTATAACATTAATAACGTTAAAATTACAATTATACTTATTTATTAACCGTGATTTTTAAATATCTGTCATATAAAACAATATGTGTATGTATGTGCTCAATAAACTCCAAAACGGCTGGAACAGTTTTGGTAAAATTTTGAGACAATCTTCAAATTAGCCTAAAAAGTAATTTTGTGAAGTTTGATTGCAATCGGATCATTCTAATAAATATTATTATTATACTTCTAACCTCACTTTTCAACCATTTTTATTCAAAAATTAAAAACATTTCACACTTAATAAATTAAAAATAATAAAATTTAGTTACTTAAGACATTATAACATTTAAAACCTGAAAATTTACTATTTAAGTATTTCTTTTGACATTTATACCTACTTAATACCAGCGATATTTTGACATTTTGCAGAAAAAGTAAAAAAAATTCTACCTGCAACCCAGAATGCGGTGTGGGTCAATCGGAATGATAGAAGCTTCAGAATACTAATTGCTTCTTTATCAATCAGATAATCTAAAGTTAAAAATTTTAAATCTGTTTTTTTTTTCGGTGATTTTTTAAAGAAAAAGAATGACGTTTATAATGTTTGTTGAGAATATAGGAACTTATAGCACATAATAACACCATCATTGTGTTGACATCAGACAGTCGATGTTTGTTTCGAATGCCACCATGAAATCGCACCTTTTGTGCGCCGGTTTGTGGTGCATGCGTCTTTTGCGTTTTTCGCCCCGGCGTGTTCGCGCATCGCTTTTTCTAACAGTTCTGTATACATGCTAATTAAGCGCGTCAACGGCGAAGACGGTAGCCTGCGCCGCCGTCGAATTAACACCGGGGTGCTAACTGTCGGGCCCCGCGGGGCATCATCCGGCGGCACCTTGCATCCCATCCGAGCCACACACAGACCGAATTCAAAACAGCAAAAATTCATTCAGAAAACATGTAGGTATAGGTTCAAATTGTACACATATGCAACCAACAATACATTATAACATAAATTGAGGTTATATTAATGTAAAATTTGTATTTTTTTATTAAAAATTATCTAAATGAATATTTGATAAAAATAAAATGAAGAAAACTAGTTTTATTTTTTATGATTAATGATTTATGAAATAAAACTTACAAAATATATGATAAAAATATCATTATTGAGTCATTAAACGTGTATTGCCCCCTGGTGGTTTATTTGAAACTAAGCTAACGTGTTTTGGATTGCCTATATTTCGATTTTTCAACTAAAATCACACTTACTAGCTATATTTTTACAAATTTACTAAAAAACATATTCTGAAGTTAAAATTACAGCTGTAATGTGCACATATGCAACCAACATTACCTCAAACCATAAATCATGGTTATGTTAATGCACAAATTCAAACTTTTGATTAAGAAGTAACTATTTAACTAAAATCTTCCCATCATAAATTACCTCACCGCAGATTATTACGTCAACGCAGTAATTTCAAAATGACAAAACGATTAATTAGCATAAATGCACGCGCACTCGAAATTGATCGCGCGTCTTCTCCATGCATCATTGCGCATATTTCGCCGAAGATAGCAACATTACCATCGTAAATCAAACACAACGCACAATACACTTTTAATAAGAAATGGTAAGTAGGTAAATGGTAAGTAGGTAAGTACTTAAAACATCAACATAAAAACAATCCTCTCTTCTCTCTCGGCGTGCATCTCCAATCGAATGCGATGCAATTGATTAGAATAAAAAATAGACAACAACAACATAAAACCAGCAAGTGCATTAGTTTCGACATTTTCTACAATATAAACAATTTTACGATTTCTTAAAACTGATCGTATCTCATTACCGCGCGCGCCTAGTCGCGATGAAACCTTGGACACCATAGACGGAGGTAATCGACGCTTGGCCGCGCGATGAAGAAGTCTTTAAACGTTCGGGAATATCTATTAAATGCCGCCGTTGCGAGTGCTTGAATTGCTGAAATATCAATTTGTGCCAACGACCAACGCGATCTTTTTTTCCATTCATTACTCAACCATCACGCGTAAAGTTACAGAAAATTATGATTTTCAGTTTACGACTGCTCATTTATCGATAGAAAACTGTTTTTTTATCGTGGGAGCAAGCAATCGGCGCAAAATTTAATTTTTTCTCACACTTGAATAAAAATGTTGCTGTTTTTAGCGAATACAAGTGTTAAAATTTACAAAACTGACCTTGGTTAGCAATAAAAGTTGCAAAACTTCGGTGTGTTGTAAGTACACATAGTCTCACTTAAAATTTATCTCTAACCATCGTTGAAATGATAAAAAATCGTTAATTTAATCGCGCATGCGAATAGAACGATGATTGTTAGCGCAGCTCACCAATTGGCCACCCGTCACACTTTTACTTTTAATACTTTCCGAGGCAATAAACTTATTTAACGTCCACTTTGCAAACGATAAACGTCCGAAAAACAAAATGCACGAAGAGGACGCTCGTTAAAATCATCGCGCGCCGGCTGTGCATGCGCGACGATTTCGTTTCGGTTGCGCGCAGATCAACTACGATCAACAAGGATCTACAAGGAATATAAAAAAGGGAGAAAAACACACACGCGATAGCAGTAAAATTCAAAACGCAAGAAAACTGCAAGCGTGTGGTTAATTTATGTAAGCTGAAGTTACGGTAAAAGGAAGTTTCATCAGGAGTGGGCTTCAATTTTTCGGTTTTAATTTAATCATTTGCTCGAATTCCTGAAATTGTCGCGCGCTGCCCGCAGGCCGGAATGGCATCCGAAGTATGACGCGGGGTAATTTATCGCGGTGGACGCATAAAAACCAGCCGTGGGTTTAAATTATTTAGATAAGGGAGCAATTTGTTCGAAATGCTTAATTCAACGGTCATTTAAAAATATATTTAAAGTTAAGTGTAACCACAAAACAAAAAAGAATTTCTTAAAATAACTGCTAATAAAAAATTTAACAAACAAAAAACATTTGTGTCAATTTTTCTAAACGTTATTTTTATTTATTAATTATTTTAATTTACTTCTAGTAAATTTTATTGACGCTGATGAGGAATAATTGCAAAAACTTGGTAAACTTGAAAACGGTGTTGGAATAATTTAACGTTTTTTGCTTTTTGCAGTGGATGCACAGATGCATGACGCAGATTGTGTTATGTGAGCGTTTGCTCTTGATATCAAGTAAGTCTTGTTATAATTAAAGCCTCATTAGCAACTTGGGAGCCATTGATATGAAATCAAGTTTAATAATATTACCTAAATGAATATTTAATAAAAGTAAAGTGGAGAACACTAGTTTTTTTCTATAGATTGATGGCCGATGCATAAATAGTTCAATTTATTAAGTTTTTTGCATAGAAACGTAAAAGTATATGATATAAATATTATTATTGGATCATTAAACGTGTATTGCCCCCTGGTGGTTAGGTTAAAACTAAGTTAATGCGTTTTGGATTGCCGACATATGAATTAATCTGACTTTTCAAATAAATTTAGTAGGATTATTAGAAACTTGGTGTGATTTTTGGAAATTTACTAAGAATTGCTCTATTTCTTCATTATTTTTCGTTTTACATATAAAAGTATGTGAAATAAACATTATTTTTGGATTTTTTTTTGTGAGTATTGCCCTCTGGTGGCTAATTGGTAACTAATGTACTGTATTTTAGGTTGCATACATACAAATTAATCCAATTTTTCAACTAAAATATAACTCTTTTGCTATATTTTTAAAAGTTTACTAAAAAACCAATTTGTTAAATATACATTTGTTATTGTTTTTACATTAAAAGTATTTGATAAAAACTTTATTATTCAATAATACCGCGACTACTGCCTTCTAGTGGTCGATCAGGAACTAACAAATTGAATTTTGGATTGCCTACAGATCAATTAATCCGATTTTTTAACAAAAAATTCATTATTTTCTATTATTTTACAAAATTTATTGAAAATTCAACTTCCACCTGATCTTCTATGTCAATCTAGGTTCTTGTTCTTGTAAGTTATGTTTTGATTGACTCTTGGTCAAAAAGTAGTTTTGAGAGAAAACTCGAACCCACTGAGAAAAAAGATAAAAGCGTATTTACGATGCAGACGCCATAATCCCTGTAAACGCCAGCAAGTAAAAAGTGAAGGTAGGAAAGGCAAAGGTAAGATGTAATCCAGTCTGCGTCGTCTATAATCCGACATATCGATATACGGCTGAGCCCCGCAGCGGAGCCGCGCAGGCGAGCTTTCGAGCTTTTCGGGAGGACGGACCTGGCGCGCCGGGTTTTTGGTGGCGCCTGTCTTATCACCCTTTTCCCAAAAACACAAGCTTTGTTCGGGCTCTTGCTCTTCTCACAGCGAACAAAATCCAACAACTCAAACTTAAATTTCCTCATAAGTATAGAAAGTAAGAATATTTTTAAAATATTAAAATGATTTTTACATTTTCAGTACAGAAAAGCTGTAATTTAAGAATTAAATGGTGTGAATGTGAAATTACAACAATTTTTCACCTTGCTTTAGGCTAAGAGGCGATGCGACATCGTGCGTTGAAGCGTTCAATTGATTTTATTCGGGTCCACGCCGGGTGGACAACACAAACCCACAAGCACACACAACCTTATGGTCGGAAGTATCAAAGAGTTACGCTGCGCCGCCGTGTGTTACGTGTCCGCGCGTACGTTTTTATTGCATTTCGTCGCGGCAACGGAATTCAACTTTATCAAGCATTTTATTTAATTAACCCGCCCGAAAACCTGATGCGGCCAGCATCACTACTACACAACACACGGCACAACACGCCAAAAATAAAGTAAACGTGCGCAATTCCCAAAATACCAATGTGATTCTTCAACAAATTGCTCAACAAAACCAGAAAAATTTTTGCCAATAACGGAAATACAAATAACTGATTGTATTTAAAAAGTCTTGAAGTCAAGTCAAGAGAAGGAAGCAATAAAACACACTTGAAACTGTCATCGGCGTATGTCACAACAATACCCAAGGCTAGACAAGCGCAAAGTGTCTGGCGTCGCTTTCAAACCCGCCGGAAAAATTTACGGTGCGATAGTAAACTCCTCGCCATTCATATTCAAACCCTCTTGAAGAGGAGAGGATGCGGTTCATTCATACGTCCGAAATCACTTTTGGCGTTTTTGGCAAGCGTTTGAAAAATGCACCAGCGTGACAATATAGCGTGTGAGGGGCCGACCAGCGGACAGATAAGTTCGGCGTGCGCGTCCGGGTGATTTATTAGGGTCGTCTGCGGCGCTAATGTCATCGGTAGGAGACAAGGAAGAAGGCGCCGGCGATTACGACTCGGGCATCCAGACATCAGACTGGTTTATGATTAGGACATCGTCTAGGCACACACGAAAAAAACTTCATTTTCACTCTTTTAAAGCCGATTTTAAAAAATAAATCGAAGTTTTACAAAATGGCGTTCGATAAATATTCATAACCTCAACCTAGCGTCATTGCTGAATAATAACACACCTGATAACCATACACGAAATTCGGTGTAGGAAAAAAATTGATACGATTATCGGCGTGTGTGTAAATATGATTTATTTACAAGTCAAATGCGAACGCGCCGTATCGGAATGTGAAAATAATAAGTAGACGAATATTATCGCACCATTTGTACGATGGGTTGCCAGCAAAGATAATCCAACACCGACTAATTTTATGACGCGCTGCGACGCGGTGATATCATAATTAGGATCACCATGCCATCAGTGTATTCAAATTTTAGTGTTTTTTAATTGTCAGCTCAGTTTTACGTGTGTATAAATTTTCATACTAATTATTTATATCTATATCTTTCAATTATTCATAAAAATTTCAAATTTTTTGGAAAATTTTTGTGTTTTGGTGACTTACTTTGTGAATCCATCGAACAAGAATCATTGAGTGGATGTGGATTCATGACCAAACTCGGCTGCACCAGGCCGCGATGGTGCATCGGTAGTTGGTGCATGGCCAACCCGCCTTGCTCTGACATCACCATACGAACTGCCGACGGTTGGAACTCACGCGCGGAACTTGTTTAAATGTCCTTTAACTTAACCCCCAAAATGCCTGGGAGTTAGATATTCACTGATTAACTAAGTCCCCTTTGATTTCCTTTGATGGTGATGACTTAAGTCAAGTTGGAAGTTGGTTCCGGCATTCAAATCTCTTTCTCTAGCTCTTCCTCGTGATGTATTTGATATTCTTTTGTGGTTTGTTGTGATGTGGAACACTTTACACTGTTTTGTTATTGTGGATCTAGTAGATAGATGCTATCACTGGTGATATCGGGCGAACACAGTTCGATTGTGGTCTCTCGCAGCAACACCGCACACACCCGTGCCGCACGATCCTTCGACCAGGACTGAGGTGGGCCGAGGAGCCGCACGCAACGCACGGGCGCCGTCGGACGAGCTCGGCCCAAAGAGGGAGAGGGCAACGGGATCGCGGGGCTGGAAGGAGAGCGGCGCGGAAGGATCCCTCCGGCTTGCTTCGAACGGCAGGAGCAGGAACTCCCACTTGCCGCGCACGAAAAGACACCATCCGATTGGTCGGCATGCGTCTATTTCGCTGCCGAACGTCGACACAAAATGGTCGGCAGGTAATCGATAAAACTGAATCCCTCCACTGGGACACGCCGGTGTCTAACGTGTGAATTGTACGAAAATTTGCTTTTCTTCCTTTCCACGCTGCCAGCAACCAAAAATTTTTTTAATTAAAAACTACTTCAAGTTCAATCGCAAGGAAAATATTTTGGACTGATCAGCTGGGATGGGTGGATAAATCAAACAAGAGTCACTAAATACACTTTTAGATCAATTCAATCCACGCGTATGCACTTGAAATAGTTTTGAGTTGCGATTTATCGGTGAAATCATAAGTGTAAATACAAGCTGATACTACAAATAATCATCATAAGTTTATTTAGTTTGGCAGTTTTTTTTCAAATTGGTATAAATATTATTGGTACGTGCTTAAATATCGTATATTCATTCCGTGACAATGCGAAAGTGGTATTTATTGGGTTGGATTTGTAAAATTGAAGTTTTAGCCACGCAAAAGTAAAAAAATAATAATCAAAAATATGTTTTGTCAGTGTTAAAAGTTGATAATCAACCAGAAAAGATGATGAAAAATTGTGTTGGTTAATTTTTTCATTTTTTACACACTAGTGCGTAAAATTACAACTTTGTGTCATCAAGGGTCAAGCCAACAACATCAATTTTGTTAACATAACCTATAATGATTTAACCTAACAATATTTGCTGATAAAAGAAAGTAGAAATTGTATTTTCATGATATTACGTTTGTAAAATGCTTCTTTTATGAACTTTATATTAAAATATCATATTTGTTCTTATGTTTATAATTTTCAAATTAGTAATTTTACAAAAAATAAGTTTTGTTATTGTTAAATCAGTGAGAAACATCAAGAAAAACTTACAAAAAGTCATTTTTGACTTCTTTTCTCTTATTTTATACACTAGTGCATAAAACTACAACTTTATGTCTCCAATTTTAAAACACCAACATTACCTTTCTTCCCATAACCTAACATAACCTAACCTAACTTTATTCTTAAAAAAAAATAACCTAAAACTCCATATTTCTTTATTTTGCATTCGTAAAATCCCTTTTTACGCACTTATTATCAAAATATCTTTGTTGTTGTTACGTTTAGCAGGTACTTTTCCTATCGACGTGTGGCATGAGTATGCACCCAGTGATTTGTGCTAGTTATCACTAATTGTAATCATATGTCAAACGTTGTACCTCGACAAAATAAAAATTCGTTCACGCCCGCAGGAAACTAAACTCGTGCGTTCGGCGTGACGCGAGCATTTTGTAAATATTGACACACGATGGCCACTTTCGCACACCGCGCACGGCGCACAAAGCGCGCACTCTTTACGAATCTGTTCGCAATCACATTTATCTTTGACTTAATCTTATCTTAGCTGCAAAATTATAAATCTGCATTCACATAGGTACCTACTACCTATGATACATAACTATGACCTATAACTACTTAAGTATTATCAAAAATTTAGAATTTTAAACATTTTTTGGGTTTTAAAATTTTGGTTAAGGAGATTTGCTATACGCGTACTGGTACAGAAATCTTAGGCATGGCTATATTCAGAAATTAATAAACTTTTGTGTCATTCCATAGAAAAAATGTTATTTTTGTGCTATCCTGGAAGCAAACTTAACCTAAACTAACCTAACCTAACATAACCAAATTTAACCTAACCTAATTTAACTTAAAAACTAAAAAAAATATTTAAAAACCAAAAATTAGTCATTTTTTAAACATCAACAGGATACGTAATAATTTTTTGGTTTAAATTTGATAATACCTATATATTTGCCATTAATGATAAAACTGTTTGACTAAAATATTTACCTACATGCGAATTTATTGATATTACGCATATCTCCCACAAAATATTGTAACATCCACAATGCCTATATACAAACAGATAAAAACTAAGGTGTCTGTCCCAAAAGCAAACACAAAAATCAAATTCTAAGAAAATGAATGAACATTGCAATTTTTTCTTTTCCTTTCTTTCTTCTTCTAATTTTTATTCTGACATAATACACGCGTTGGAGCATGCCAAATAGATTCGGATGGCCGTGACGCGCATGGTCGCATAGATTCTATGCCATGCGGCGGCGAAAAGAGCGACGCCTCGGTTTTTTCCGCATAAGTTAACAAATCCCGAAATCATCCCAGCATCACAGATTTGAACGCCCCTGTTCACAGAGTGTTCGCTGCCACTCATGCATGATAAAAACCCATCTCCGGGGCGCCGCTGATAAAATGCATGCAACGTGCGTTGCATTGCATTGCGTCACCATGGGCTACGCAGGGGATTATTGGAATTAGGCATCAGGTATTATCTTGTTGTCTCGTCGAGCATGTAGTGGCTGTTTGTGGCTGGCGCTTTGTCAACGCACAATGGATTAACAGCTACTGTGCAGCGGCTTAAACTATGCATACCTAAATACAGAGGAAAGTTTAAAGGTTCGGTTCTTTAGTAAACAAGATTCCTATTTGTTTCACTTAACCTTCCCTAACCTTCTCACATGATATTTTTGACATTTTTATTTGCTACATCATATGTTTTTTCAAACATTTGCACAAATTCAAACTTTATCTCTTTCATATCTTATCAATGTCTGTGTATGTCTCAATAGTTGTCAATCTGGCCCAGACACCAATTTTTATGGTTTACATAAGGTAGGTACACAGTTAGTTATCAAAAGAATTTTTTTCCCAAAAATTTGCAAAAATAAATAAAAATTTTAATTTTTTACAATTTTTGGGAATTAGAAGTTTTGTTCCTAAATTTTCTACTTATTCACTAAAAATTAAAAAATAAATTTTATCAGCTGTGTAATTCCCAAAAATAATTTTTTCCGTAAAATTTTGTAAGATTTTCAAAAAAATTCAAAAATTACCAAAAATATAATTTTGTCTTGAAAAACTCTTTATCTCTTGCAAATTTTGTCCCCAAATTTCCTATTTACAGCCCAAGAAGATAAGATTTACCTAAATACAAATTATTTACGTCAAAAATCCATCAAAAGCTCAAACTTTGAGACATTTGAAGAAGAAAACACGTGTAATCTAGAAATTGATCAGAATCCCTCGATGGCTATCAAAGACATCGGCGCAGACATGCCACAGCATGAAGGGCGAGCGTTTCCTTTCATGTTATCGGCGACCAATATCTGATGCACCGACGCACGCCTCCTCGCATTATCAGCAGGCCCGATGGCCACAAAAAGAAATGCATTAGCGGTAAAAAGTTAATCACAGAAATATTGGACATTAACACAACACGCTGAAATTGAATTGAATGCGCGATGATCAGCTTGATGTCCGAGCAAATAAGTGAGTGTATTTTTAGTCGGGGCTTTTTAATGGAAGGGGCGCGACGCAGGAAAAAAATACTGAAAGTGGAAAAAAATATAATAAAATACATTAAGGTATTATGGAAACAGAGAAAAAAATATTTTGGGTAAATTTTGAAATTGTTTTTATATAGTAAAAGTTATTTGTAATAATTTTGGGAATTTTTTGTTAATTTTTGGAAAAAAAATGCTTTCGAGTAAATATTAAAATTTTTTTAAAAAAATTTTTGATAATTTCAAAGGGAAAAAATATATTTTGAGTAAATATTCACATTTTTCTTAATTTTCTTTAAATTTTGCTAATTTTTTATATTTTTGGAAATTTTAATAAACAACCTAATAAACTCGCCAAATCATAATCATGTTAATATCTGTCATATAGAATCGCGTTTATATTCTGCGGAAAATAGGAATATGAAAATGGAATGATGGCAATTATGCCCAGAATGCATTACGGCGATAAACATCTTCATTATATCTCGTGGTTTGATATTTACGCGCGGCATATGAATTATTGAAATTGAATTGTCGAGCAAAACGGACAAAAACCGATGATGAAAAAACACACTCTGATAATAAGAAATTTGTTACAGCACGATCAATATTTGATCATAAAGTGACAAGTCACCACACCAGCATAATAATAACATGCAATAACAAGTAATATCAACGATATTAACTAATATTATCAAGTAGAATACGTAATAACTTAATCGCTAAATACACGTTGACAGAAATATGAATAATTTAATCATTTTATACCACATGTTCAGGAAATAGTAGGTATATTAACTATCAAGTGCGCTAAGTAGTACTTTAATAATGTTTAGCGGGATGCGCAAGCCCTCGAAATAACGCTCGACACGAGCAGTTTTTATTTGACTGACGGCGCATGGTGTTTCATATGACTTTATACGGCACCGTAGGAAAATTCGCAGACGCAAGCTCCTCCCGTGACTAAAGTACTTTAATCACGCCCTTGACCGTCCATGTACAAAATATCACTTTTTATGTCACAAAACCGTAAAAAAACTGATGTAGAAAAAACACCATTTTTATATGATTTTTATCAAAATGTAAATACTTTTTTATATCAAAGTGGTAGTGTTTCCTTTTATTAGTTATATTAGCCGGATAATTATAATTCAGCGCAGTTCCAGAGTGCGTGTCCGACCAGATCCAAGCCATTAGTTTGTGTAAATGTAAAAGCAAAACAAGGTAAAAGCACTAAAAATAATTGTAGCCCGGCGAACAAGTGGGTTGTCGAGAAGGTGTAATTACCGATTACGGACAGCAAGTCATCTAAGAACAAGAACACCAACTAAATAAATCGCGTACCCCCGGCGCACACCAACCATACCGTCATAACAATAAAATCCACATTAAAATATGACCAATAATTCAATATCCACGCGGTATGCGTGCGAAAGTACAAAGAGCACTACCCGTACAAAAGTGTTTA